ATTTACTTTGTATTCGCTGCCTGGAAGAAGCAGTGGACTTTGCTGTCCCAGGCACTTGGGGGTGGAAGTCGGGAATTGTCGGTGTTGTGCTCCAAGTTGGGATTGTTTCATCCTTGTGTTAATGAAACTTAACTTCTGGGGGACACAGCTCTTGAGTCTGTTCTTATCATCACATGTCCTGCCCTGGGTGTGTGACAGCTCGTGTCTCTGCCTTGCAGGGACTGGAATTCGATCCGAGAGCGAAACGGAAGCGGAAGCCTCAGAAGTTCACATCTCTCAAAGCTCTTCACCGACACCTCAAGTCCCAAAGCAAGGAGAAGATTACGGCAAAGGTGTCATTTTCTACCTCAGGGATAAAGTCGTGGTGGGAATCGTGTTGTGGAACATCTTCAACAGGATGCCCATTGCTCGGAAGGTCAGTGCAGGATGAGGATGATGGACAGTGGGGCTTTATGGAGCAGGGATTTCCTTGTGGAAAAATCAATCTGCCAATCCAAAGTGAGGATAAATAGATGCAGATGCTCTGTCTGACGCAGAGCTGGGCAGTATCCAATTCACCCTGTCCTGGGTGAATTAGGGGAGCTGTCCTTGTGCTTTTTTGCATGTGTGTGCAAAGTTTTTACAGAAATAACTCAGATCAGGTGTGTGCTCCAAGCCTTACCTTGGCATGGCTGAAATTCCAGGCCTATAATAAGTAGAGGCTGGAATCACAGTGATGAAGCATGAGTGAAATGTCCCATCTTTGTGCTGCTTTGTCCAATGTCCAAGTGCCTGAAACAGTCTCAAATATCATCCCAGAAACAGCCACAGAGTCAGGGCTGGGACAGCCCTGAGAGGTGCTTAGTGTGTCTCCACCCCCGTGGTCTGTCTCAGTCCTCCCAGGTCAGCTCAGCCAGGCTGAGGTCAGGTTTTAACACCTTTGGAAAATTTCATTAGTTTTAAACTATGGGAGTGATCCCACACTATCCCCAGGTGATCTCTCCCGGAAAGAACTATTCATGATAGAAATCGATTCTGAATCCTTTATGATGCAGTTGAAACCTGTTGCTTCTCCCATCCCCGTGGAAAGGAGATCCTTTCCTTCTTTCCTTCCTCCCCTTAACAGCCTTTCCCCTAAATCTGAATGTGCAGGGTCCTTGGCCTCTTGGTCTTGTTTAAAAGCTGCAGGTTCAAGCCAGGTATCCTGGCTCTGAGACAGTGCCAGGCTCACCTTCACAGGGCTGAATCACTTTTTGAAGAGACTTGTTCTCCCCAGCTGTAAAGAAAAACCCAGAAACAAATCCCTCAGGGACAGGGAGGTTGGTTTTCCAGCTCTTCCTGTAGGCAGGTGCTGGTACGTTTAAGAGTCCCATGTAAATTTGGGTGCAGAAAGTGCTGTTGTGCTGTGGCTGTCTCAGTCTGGTGCTTCAGAGAGGATCCAAGGAGTTCCTGGCATTGGCTGTGACAGTCCTGCAGCACTGGCTGTTTGTAGGACGTGCAGGATTTAATGCCTTGTCCTTCCTCCAGATCATCAAAGACGGGGAGGAGCACGAGGACCTCAATGAAGTAGCAAAGCTCTTCAACATCCACGAAGACTGAACTCTGTAAGGGCAACACGGCACTAGGAGTGAGGGGGCTGCTGGCTGTGTGCATCCCTTCGCCTCGGACAGCTTCCTTGGAGCACTTGGGAATATTCCACTCACCTGAGCCCAGTGTTTGCACCAATAAAGTCAGATTGTTCTAGTCACCTGCTTTTTCCTGCACCGCTGCCTGGCCAGTGAGGAAAGGGGACTGTGCTGCCCACTGGGCTCAGTTTTCCCTTGTTTCAAGCTTGGAGAAGCCTGCAGAGCTCCCTCTTTTCCTTGCAGTGATTCCCAGCTGGGAGCGGGCAGGGCTTCAGCCCCTCCCGTGCCTCAGGTGCTGCAGCTCCCAGCTGGTGCCTGCAGCTGGACAGCCCCAGTCCACACCCTGTCTCCCCACAGCTGGCTTTGCCCACAGCAACGAGCTTGGAGAGCCTGCTGGGAAAGCTGCTGCCGTTGGGATCCTTCCCCAGGGTGTCTCTCCTGGCTGGTGATCCCCTCCCCACTATGCCTGAGGTGTCACTGCTGGTCCCCATGCACAGGTTACCTGGGTGAGGGAATAGAGGTGTGACAAGAGCTGGGCTCTGAGGACAGGGCTGGGAAGGGCAGGGGTGGAGCCACACTGTCCCACAGAGCAGCCACCTCATGACTCCTACATCCCACAGGAGCCCTGGCAAACCTGGAGGAGCCAAAGAGCTCCCTGGGCCTGAACCGAACACTCCACCACCTGGGTGGTGTCGGCACCAAGGAGGTGCCGCTGGTCTCCCAAAAGGTGCCAAGAGCAGCCGTGAGAACCTCGCCTCTGGTGCTTGGAGCACCTCCTGCCCCTTCTGCACTGCCCTGGGGATCTGCAGGGCTGCTCCTCTCCCCATATTCACACTCCACGCTTCTTGGGACCCAATTCCATCTGTGCAGTAACTTTTTCTTTGTCCTTAAATACCTTATCCCCAGGGTGTCACTGCCATCTCTGATGGGCTCAGCCTTGTCCAGTGGCGGGTCTGTCCTGGAGCTGCTGGAACTGTCTGTGACAGACACAGGGGAAGCTTCTCCCTGCAGTTTCCTCCCACCCCTCTACCAAAAGCTGGCCATGCACACCCAACACACCTGGCAACTGCCCTGGGTGATGCAGGGGCTCGGAGAGCCCAGGGGCCACTGTGACCCAGATGGCACCAAGGATCCATTGTGACATTGCAGGGCCTTGTGGCATGAAGGAAGGGGCCCCTGTGACACTGCAGGGCCCTGCCCTGCCCATGGGGTACCTAAGGAGCCCCCCGGGGTGCCCACTCCAGCAGAGCAGAACACCTTGCTCGGGGGGCAACAGCTCTCTTTTCCTTCTCTCACCTGCAGGGAAGGAACCATGGAGAAGAGGAACACCAACCCGCGCCCCAAAGAGGGGCACCAGCTGAGAGACAGGGCAGGGGGCAGAGGCCAGAGGTGGGATGGCGCCGGTCGTGCCAACACTCTGCCAAAGCAGCCGCCTCCATTCCCGTCCTCCCGCCCGCACCAGCGGCAGCCTCAGGACAGCCAGGGCCAGCCCCTCCGTGAGGACACGCTGTCCTCACCTTACAGCACGCTGAGCTCCAGGAGCACCAGGAGCCCTTCCATCCTGGCCGCGGGGGCGCGGGGCCCAGGCCCGCAGTGGTGCAGGACCTGTCCCGGCCGTCCCCTGCTCCCGGCCAGCAGCACCGCCGCCCGCAGCCAGCGCCGGCGGGTCAAGAGCTGCTGGGCCTGCAGTGGGGTGGCGGAGCCGGAGCCGCAGCAGCAGGACAAGGACCACGGATGGCCGAACGAGGCTCCCCTTGTGCCTCAGCGCTGCGGACACAATATCTCCCGCATCCCTGTCCCAGCAGCAGCTGCTGGGAGGAGCCAGGCCAGCCCTGCCAATCCCCCTCTCCCCTTTCACGCCTACAAGGCGAAATCATCCCCCGGCCCACGGCGAGAGGTCTCTCACTGTGTCAAGCAGGAAACCCAGCCTGAGACCCCAGCACAACGGGCAGATTCAGCTGTTCCTCAACACGCTGAGCAGGAAACCCACCCCGAGACCCCCCAGCAAGGGGTGGATTCAGCTGTTCCTCAACACGCTGAGCAGGAGACACAGACAGAGGAGCAAACTTCAGCTGCTCCCCTCTTGGTTGACCGGGAGACACAGACTGAAACTCTAGCACAAGAAGAGGAGATTTCATCTGCTCCTCAGCTCGTCGATCAGGAGACACAGATCGAGTCCCCGGTCCCGCGCAGCCCCTCAACGCTCAGCTCAGCCCTCTCCACCACGGAGCTCTGCTCTGCTCCCGGGGCCGCTCGGCAGCGGCTCCCCCCGCTCCGGAGGGCGCTCGGGGCTCTGCGCGGGGCGTTGCGGTGTCCCTGCCGGGGACGGCCCGAGCGCGGTGCCCGGCGGGCCCCGGGGGATGGCTGCTGCTCCGAGCCGGTGCAGCATCCCCGAGGCGGCACGGCGGGGACGGGGGCACGGGCGGCACCGCAGGCGTTCCCCGCCGCTGAGGACACCGAGCCGCCGCCGTACTCGTGGCCGTGGCTCATCGAGACCAGTGTGTGACTGGCCACGGCGACTGTTAATAAAAGGTTTCGCCTCTCCCATCGTGCTCGCCACAGTGCCTGGTCCATCGGGAGGAAGGTGGGTGCAGGGAAGGCCCGTGCCGGCAGGCCCCTGTGCTCCTTCAGCCAAGCAGAGCCCGTGCCCTTGGCTTCTCCCCTGCCTTCTGCTGCTCCAGCTCCTCTGGTTCAGATCCCCGGGCTCGGTGCCGGCAGCCAGCCCTCAGCCTGGCTGAATCCCACCAGGTGCCTCCCTTCCACCCGCCTGTCCACGACAGAACATTTCAGATCATAAATTTGGTGAGTTTTCCCTAATCCTGCTCTCCCCTGCACCTCTTTGGCCTCAGGAGGAACCTCCCCAGCATGGTGGGGGTAGGAGGACGAGCCCCTCTCCATTCTGTTTGGGACCCTCCCTGACTGCTCCGGTGCTGAGAGCAGTGGAAGCAGCACTGTATCCCCCTGGGGAGTTAATCCTTGGTGGTGCCTAGGCAAAGCTTACTCCCATCAGTGAGTACCATTAACAAGGAAAAAGAATAACAAAATCCCCGAAGAGCCCCATGAGATCCCTCTGCTCCCGCAGGGGTGAGTGAAGCCAGACAGGGACTGGCTGCCCCATGGATGGGGCTGGGGGGGTGCTGAGGGCAGACAGGGCTACCCAGCCATCAGTGGTGGCATCTGGGCATGGCCAGGCTTGGCTGCAGAGCTCCCATCACCAGGGTCAGGCAGGAGCCAGCAGAGTGCCCCCAAGTTTTGCTGGCTCAACACTGTGCAGAGACATGGGCCCTGCAGATCCCACAGCCAACTCTCTCCCTTCACTGAGCCACAGGCTCGAGTTGACACACGTGGAAACCTGCCCAGACACAGGACACAGAAGAAAGGGCAGGAGACATTGGGCCTGATGCAGGTTTTTTCTGTACATCAGTGTTTTTGACACCACAGCCTGTTGCTGCATATAATAAAACAGAAATCAGAAAGAGCAACCAGAATACACACCCAAAGGCAAAAAACCCTCGGCTTAAAGAAGGTGCTGCCGGGCCCCCAGCGGGAGGCTGGCAGTGAGGGTCCAAGGGGGGGACACGCCTGCCCTGGCTGGGGAGAAACACAACACAAAGAAAAAAACGAACCAACAAAAAACCCCCACCCAAAGCTCCCGCTGGGGAGCGGGGAGAGCCGGAAATCCCCCGATTGTCCCGTCCTCAGTCCTGTTAGCACCTGTACAATAAAACTGTACCGGCCCCGGAGCGGAGCAGCCTGCCCGTGCCCGCTCCCTCCCGGAGAGATGCTCCCGGGGACACCGGCGGGGAGCGGGGCAAGGAGGGGGCTTCTGCCCTGGAGACAGACCCTGGGGCAGGGGGACAAGCTGCCGAAGCGTGGGGTGTGCTGGGGGCCGCGGGCTGCCCCTGCCCGAGCGGCAGCCGCCTGGGACGGGGAGCAGCAGCACAAATGAGATGGAGGAAAGAGCCCGGGAGAGGATGGAGCAGAGGGGCTGGCTCCAGGCTGGGGCTGAGCGCCGGCAGCAGGAACCAGCTCCAAAGCCAAGGGAAGGGGCTGTCCCCAGGCTGCAAGGACCAGGACCCTCTGGGTCTGGCCGGCCTCGGGGTGCACTGGAGGGGGGGGCTAGGGGGACAGCCTCATCCCCTGGCCCAGAGCTCACCATCACAGTGATACAGACTCAGCAAAAACAAAGAAAACATTACAAATTAAATACTAATTAAATAAATACTATGGAAGACATCGGGAGGGGGAGGGCAAACGGAGAGGCGCAGTTCCTGGGGGTCCAGCGGGGAGGGGCGGTGGCTCCCACCACCCCTCGCTGCCCCGTGAGCCCCGTGGAGGGGGCTCCATCACCCACTGGGGCTGGATGGGGTGGCGGCGGCAGCGACCGCCACCGCTCGTGGCCAAGGGATCCCGGGATGTCCTTGGAGGCCAGGGGTCCTCCCTCCCCAGCTGCAGGAGACCCTGAGGAGAGGAGGAGTGGCTGCCCAAAGACTCGGGTCCCTGCTGCTGGCGCTGAGAGAGCTGCTTCCCCTTGGTCCTTATTATTGCCTCGTGATGCCGGGAGCGACCTGTCCCCGTCAGCTGCTCCAGGCCTGGTACTCCACCGCTGAGCCCAGCAGCTGCAGCAGCTCGGGCTCGTAGTGCACCAGCTCCACAGTCTCTGCCGTGCCCGGCGCTGGCTCGGGGCTCGCCGGCACCTCCTCCTGCGCCAGCACCTGGCTCAGGGACACCTGGCGTTGGAACTCTGCCCGGGGCAGTGTGGCGATCTCCAAGTGCGGGAAGCGGGCCTGGAATATGCGGGAGGACAGCTTCAGCCGCTTGAGCACGTCCGAGAAGAGGAACCAGTTGCAGGGCCTGAGAGGAGAGCAAGAGGACAGTGGGTTAGGGGTGGAGGGGGCTGCAGGCACAGTGCCCACCTCCCAGGGAGGAGAAAGGGGAGCTTCGTGACAGGCACGGCCCAGGGGCACCCGTGGCAGCAGGATGTGCCTGCCCATGGAGCAGGACTGCGTGGGGGGAGCCCTGATGAGCCTCTTCTGCTCCCGAAGAACATGCCAGGCTGCCCCAAGTGAGGCAGTGCTGCTTCCCACATGTCCCCAGCACTGCAGCCACAACTTCCCATCTGTTGCCCAGAGAAGCTGTGGCTGCCCCATCCCTGGAAGTGTCCAAGGCTGGGTTGCACGGGGCTTGGAGCAACCTGGGATAGTGGAAGGCGGATGGGAGGGGGTTGGAATGGGATGAACTTTAAGGCCCTTCCCAACCCAAACCATTCTGGGATTCTGTGATGATTCTGTGAAAACAACCGCCTGAGATACACAAACTGCTCTTCACCCTGTTGGAATGACTGATGTGCTGCCACCTGTGCTGGGGCTGTAGCCACCCGTGGTACTGCTCTCTGCTCCAGGGAAGGATACTCACCCCCGGGACACGGACACTTGGAGGTTGTAGCTGGGAAGCAGTGGCTTGTCTGAGAACTCAAACATGAAGTTGTCTGCTTCTTGCTCCTCTTCCTCCTGGTCTGAACTCCCCGGAGGGTTGAGCAGAAGGTCGCAGCCAATGGTGTCCTTCCCCTCTGCAACAGGCAGGACACAGGTTGGCACCGCTCACAGTCCCACACCAGCCAGTGCTGGCACTCCCTGGGGACCTCTCTGGCCACTGCCACAACCCCACGAGCACCTTCCCACAGCGCCCCAGCAGCCACACGTGAGCTGTGTCCCTCCTGCTCTCCCCACCCCTCGTCCCAGAGGCGCACGGAGTGAGCGCTAGCTGCTCTGCACAGTGAGACTCTGCTCGCTGACCAGGGCACGTGGAAAGGACATCCCAAGTTGTGGCAGGAACCCCAAGGTGTGCTGTGATCCCACAGGTGGGACAGGGCACAACCTGCACCATGAGCTACCCCCACTGGCACACTCCAGACCCTCCCTGACCTGGCCTTGGCCCCTCTGCTGTGCCAGCACAGCCCTCCTCAGCATGGAAGAGCCTGGAACAGTGAGGTAGGAGGTGGATGTAGAGAAGCTTTGCCTGCACAGGCCCTACTGAGGAAGGCACAGCAAGTGCTCTACTCAAGAGCTTCTCCACCCAGATCCCACCCTCAGAACATCCAGAAGGTGATCCAGAGGAGCCAGCACCTCTGTCCCAGGGAGGACAGCAAGGCTGTGCCAACAAAGACTAATCCAACTAAGCAAACATGAGGGGAAATTTAGGTTAGATATACAGAAGAAATTCCTCTCCATGAGGGTGGGCAGGCCCTGGCACAGGTTGCCCAGAGAAGCTGTGGCTGCCCCATCCCTGGAAGTGTCCAAGGCCAGGTTGGATGAGGCTTGGAGAAACCTGGGATAGTGGAAGGTCTCCCTGCCCATGGCAGGGGGGTGGAACTAAATTGTCTTTAAGGTCCCTTCCAACCCAAACCATTCCATGATTCTATGACTTAGAGAATCCACCCAGCAGATAAAAGCTGGCTATTCCAGGAGGTACCTGAGCTCCAGCAGGACCTGAGTCCAGAGGAGATGGAGAACAGCACGCTGGATCCATAAACCATTTAAAGACAGTTAAATTTCTTATTCACCAATCTGAAAAGCTCCTGTTGAAAAGGAGCTTGCTGCCTGGATTTTATTATTAAGAGGTATGAATAGTCTTGGTTTTGCAGAGTGGTTTTGTACCAGTGAGATAATAGCGGATAACTCCAAAAACTTCCAGAAAATAGAGTTTAGATTCTATAGAGAGCAGCCAGACCCAATGTGCTGGTGAGCAAATAAACCAATCATGTAAAAGTTCAACACCACACATGAGAGAAAAGGCTGTAAAAAAAAAAATAATCTTCTGGTTGCTCCACAAGGAAACTCCACACACCAGACTGCTCACCCGGCACGGATGGGATTCCAATAGAGGAACAACAGCAGATGACAGGAGACACTGGTTCAGGCAGGGTCTCAGAGAAAAATAGAGTCATTTGTTAGTGCTGCCAAGGGAAAAAAAATCCCTAAGAAACAGAAAAGCAGAGTGCTGAAATCGTCAGAATTCGCTGTAGAACAGGACAAAAATAAGTGACACGGATATTGATCCGATGTCGCTGCTGGCAAAGCTCAGATGCTAGCACTGAAAAACCTCAAGTTTCTTGAGTAACCCAGGAAAAAAAGAATTAAATGCATTTAAAGTGGCAAAAATAGGGCCCAGTGTCTGCCCTGAAAGCTCAGTCCTGTCTGTCAGGAGAGCGAAGGCTGGGACAAGGACAGGAACATCCTGTACCACCGCAGGAGACAATCAGGCACAACAATGCCTGTCCCAGGTGGAGACAAACCCCAGAGTGGGAATTTGTGTCTGGAGCTCCAGCAGCACCAAGTCCAGGACACTGATGACTTTTCCACACTCGGACCTCAGAGATCCCACACCCTGGCTTCCCTCATTATCCTTCTGCCCCCAGAGATTTGCAGACTTCAAGGAAAAGGTGGACAACATTCCTGCCTCAAAAAATAGCAACAGCTCGAGCAGGGCCTGGGATTTCTCCTCCAAACTGAGGAACGAGCAGTGCTTCAGCTGGTGGAGCTGATGGAGACTCCAAAGGGATGATCCAGGAGGAGCTGTTTGCTGCCTGTGACAACTGGGAGCAGCCTGGTTATTCCAGCAGGTTATTCCAGAACCTGCCTTGGGCTGTACCCACTCCAGGTGACCCGAGGTGACTGCTGAGGTATCTAACCAAAAAGGGCTATTTCAGGACACCCAGTAAACATGGTGTAAAGAAACCAGCCCCATGTTTCAGACTCGGGCATCCTGCTTTTCCTGCAGCTCTGGCAGCATCCGGCAGCAGTGCCTGGCAGAGCGCAGGTGACACAGGGTGACACCGCCACTGCACCGCTGCTGTAAGCTGATCTCAGGAGGATGGCAAGGAAGGTCCCTTCCTGTGCCTGCTGGAAACAGACCTGGCAGGGTAAGGGATCACTTCCCAGCTGGGTTAGCTCCTGCCTTGCCAGGCAACCTCCCAGAGGCAGCATGGGGAATGCTTTGTGGATGGGGCAGGAGGAGGGATGGCGTGCCCGGCCCTCGGACAGCAGCATGGCACAGCTCCACCCTGGGATCTCCCTGAGCCAGAGATGGAAATACCCCACAAGCAACACCAAAGCCACGGGGCTCCAGAACCTTTTTGCAGCTGACATTTCCCCAGGGATCATCGCCCCTACGTCTGGGAGAACCTCTGTTCTCCACAGGGGTACCTGTGTTAAAGCCCGGAGCACCAGAGGTGTGAACGTCGGCCCAACCAGCACTGGAAGGAACTTTCCACTACAGCAAGGATGAAATGATGCTTCCAGGGAAGGGTAGAGGCAGATCAGTGTGGAATTTTTCTGGCTTGTTAACAGCTTCAGGTTGCCCAGGAGAGAAGGAAAACCTGGCAGATAGCACCATGTGAGTAGCAGGGACCCAGCAGAGGCACATTCACGGCAGCCAGGACTCGGTGGGAAGTCCCACTGGAAGAGGCTGGATGTGTGTCACAGAGGTGGTGGTCTTTCACCACTCTCAAATAAAGAAATACTCTGAAAAGCTCAGTGGAGGTCCAAGGGCAGGAAAAGAAGCCCAGTCCCCAGCCCTCCCTGTGGAGATCTTCCATGTATTAGCCAAGGATCCAAATAAGGCCCTTTGAGCAGTGGACTGCCATCACTGTGGCATCCCAGTCCCCCTCCACCCCCAAGGAACACCTAAAGAGTCAGTGATGGTTTGCTCACTGAAGAAACAATACCTTTTTTTGCCTACAGGGGTGGAAAACAGAAATGTGGGAAGACAGCAGCCTGCAGACTAACACAGGAGCTTCCAGAGGAAAGGACACGAGCAGATACCAGAATTCAAGCATAAAGCTCTCTGAGCAACCAGGAACTCAGCAGTGACCAAAGAGAGCCAAACTCTCCTACCCATGAATTCACACACCATTTTCCTTTCTTGTTTATGAGAGAAATCCAAATGGGAATCTGTGATAAATCAAAAAGACTAATATCTTAAAAAATATCACCAAGAATAGCTATTTTTCCTTGTCATAACTTTTCCTTGTGAGGCTTGTGAGAGCTTCAAGAGTATGAAAATTCATGGAAAGAGGCTGAGGTTTCAACTGTTTCCTTGGCAGGCCTGAGGTGCAACAGCCTACAAACAGAGCTCTTAGGAGTGCTAGTGCTTCTCTTGTTCCAGAATGAAGACACTGAAGTCCTTCAAGGATAAGTCCTCTACCAAGAGCACTCTCCTGAACATATCAGATTTATCTTGTTTCTAGAAGGATGTTGGAAACAATGAAGGTGAGCAACTAAAATCAACAGGCAGCCTTTCAGCCTGCCAGAGGTTGGAGGGACTCAAGTGTGCCAGAGGCAGCTGCCAGATCCAGAATATCTTCCACTGCAACCACAGTTTTCAGGACATGGCAATAAAGGCACAAGTCAGGCCTTCACTGGGAAATGCCAGAAGAGGACCTCCCCTGGAGAAACACCTTCCCTCCAAAGCAGAGGAGAAGGATGGGCAGCTCTGGGAACCATGGAAGTTCAAGAGTTCCACAGCTTGAAGGAATGAGTATGTCCTTCACCTTCCTTGGGTTTACCTTGGTGACTGATTAGCAAGGGAGCAACAAGAGCTGCCATGAGAATGACACACACTGGGATTGATATCCAAAGACCCTCGGGAATTACCAGCAACGCTTCGGAGCCCAGTTCTGCACTTGGAGGGATGCACATATGCAGTTTTCCAAAGAAAAAGTCCCTTTCAGGAGCAATTCCCAGCATGTAACACCACAGAAAAGCCTCTATCCAAGGTGTGAGTGGGGAGGGACGTGGACAAACCCGAGGGAACGGTGTGTTGTTACCTGGCATCACCTCCTGCTCTGCTGCTGCCAGTGACCCGGCCCAGACTGCACTCACCTAGCACAGAGCTGCTGTAGAAGTCCCAGGCTGTCCGAGGGTCTCCGTCGGAGCGGCCCTGGAGATCTGACAGGTAATCTAGACAGGGAGAAAGGAGAGGGTTAATGGACCAAAGCACAGTCCTGGAGTGCATATCCATTGATCCAGGGGGAGCTGCTCCACCCCTGCTGCTTGTCCCACTTGGGCAAAGGCTGAACCATGGCTTGCAGGAAGGGTGTCCCTGCTCAGGAGAGGGCATCACCCTAGACCCCAGATCAGGAAATGGGAGCTGAAAAGGGAAAACAACTGACAATGTCAGGTGGCTTAGAAAGAAAGGTTTTAGGGCGGTTCTGAGCTCCAAATCAGCCCCTCAACACCTGTGTGTGGAGTTGAGCCTGAAGGAGCTCTGACAGTGGGCAAACAGGGTTTTTTTGACAGTGGAGATTTTCTGTCTTGTCTGTACCTGGGGACAACCACTACTCTGGCTGTTCCTTCTGTTGGGGAGGAGCCACAACACTCATCTTGCCTGTACACAAAGGGCACCGAATGCGGCCACAGGGAACCAAAGTGATCCTTTCTGCCAGCAGCAGCAACATTTGGGCAGCGCTGCTTTCGCACAGAAGGCAGCACTGTTTGGCAGCAAAAATATGTTCACTTAGGTTAGGCAGTAGAACCAGGGACTGTCTCCGTGCAGAGCACTGTCTTTAGCTGTGTGACCACAGCACAGTCACCTCCTTGCACACTGAAGACTGAAAAGTGACTTGTACCTTATATAGGAAACAGATACAACTCTGCAGTTAAAGTTTGGGTGGTACAAACGTGCTTGTGTGACAGGACAGAGCTAAACTGATGAGTCACCTGCTGCTCAAGCCCTTTGACACCCAGATTTGGCCCTGCACGCTGCCAGAGGGCAAGGATGGGAGCACAGCCACCCCCATGCCTGGCACCTACCACAGAGGAAGCGCTTCATCACGTCGCTGGTGGCCAGTTTCACTGCTGTCTGCCCAGAGTACGTGGCCAGAGTGGGATCAGCACCATAGGAAAGTAGAAGCCACAGGGTTTCCAGGTTGTCATTCGCGACTGCATCATGGACAGGCCTGCAAGGACGGAATCAGAAAGAGACCGGGCATTCGCTGAGGAAACGCTCTGGTTTGGGTTAGGACCGATTCAGTGACAGCTCCTCCCCAAGAACCCACCCTTGCCAGGGCGTGCCCCTCACCTGGTGCCGTCCTGGGCGCTGCAGTTGACGTTGGCGCCGTGCTCCAGCAGGATGTGCAGGATGTCGATCCAGCCGCGCGCGCAGGCCTCGTGCAGGGCGGTGTAGCCCGCGTTGTCGCGGTGGTTCACGTCGCTGCTTTTCTTCTGCAGGCAGTACAGCACCACGTCCTGCGCCAACGACAGCACGGCGGCCGTCACGCACCGGCCCAGGGGAGCCACAGCGGGGCACGGGGCAGGGGGCACCGGCACTCACCTTGTAGCCCAGGCGAGCCGCTCGCTGCAGGAGGGTCTCCCCCGCGTTCTTGTTCACGATCAGCCGCCGAGCTCCAGGAGGAACGCTCTGGGCCGTGGGCGGCTCCGGGGAGCTCCCTGGGCTGACCCGATGGGACTTACAGAGCGTCCACAAGTCCTGGGGCTTCTTCGGAGAGCACGTTTTGGGCTGGTTGCAGCAGCCTTTCCCCTGGGAAAGGAAGGAATGCAACTCCTTGACACATGACTCACAGGAGTCTCCTTGTCCCTCTTCTCCCCACACGCCTTCCCCTCATCCCTCCAAGCCATACCTTCCCCTCATCACAGATCCCTGCCAGGTGTTTGGTTTTGCATTTGCGTTTTCCTGATGGTTTCTCCAGCTCTTCTTGGACGGGAGAGCTGTCGGAGTGCTCCAGGAAGAAGCCATTCCGAAAGTCTGTGCGTCCTTGAGATTTTCGGGGGGACGGGGATAGCCTGCTCCTCAGCTGGAGCTCTGTGCCTTTAGCCTTCCCAGACTCCTTCTGCTTCCGGTGCCTAAAATCTAAACGAAAAATGGGGATGAGGCATTTTGTTTGGGAACAAACATTTAATTTCTAAGTGGGGATCTGGGAGATGTCCCACTGGGTTGGTTCAAGGGACCAAGAGGATAAACTCTAAGAACAAAACTTTCCATCTCTTAGGGACAATGCTGCCTCCAGGAGCAGTACCTTCAGATTCCACATCGTGCTGAGACTCTGGAGCCTCTGCATCAAGTACCACACATAACTTCCACTTATGTCCTGTTACTGCTAGGAAGCAGGGACCACAGATCTTGTACAAAAAAAAAACATGTTTGGCCAAGATACCAAGGCAGAACCACAAACAAAATCTCAGAGCCAGCATGTCTCAGGTACTGTTGTGCTGTTCTGGACTCCACACCTCAGGAAGAATGGAGTGGGAATGGGAAAGGCAACCAAAATGATGCAGGGGTGGAGATGTCACCCTACAAGAGAGACTGTGACTCCTCAGTCTGGAGAGAAGAAGGTGGAAAAGGATGTGACCAAAATTTGCAAAAATCCTGAAAGGGCGAATCTTGCTCACTCAGTCCTGCAGCACAAGACTTACTGACACTCAATGAAATGAGTAAAAGATCAGCTCAAAAAAGACATTTCAGGGAACTTCAGGCTCCACTGCCACTGGAGGTGGCTTCAGCCATAACTTCTGAATCCAAACTACTGCAGCTCACCTACCTGAGGGCCAAGCAAGCACCCCCTGAGGGAAACTGGACAGGCAGACACTCAGTACGTGTGGTAAACCTGCTGGAGAAAACCCTCTCGAATGCTGCTGCACTCAAACCTCCTTCCAGGCTCCTATTCTGAACAGGAGGCATCCTGAGAGCACCCCTGAGTTGCCAAGATGCTGGGAAGCCCATTGGAAACTTTGTTCCTGGTCTGACAGAGGCTCTCAGTGACAGTGTAACACTGCTGGAGCAGAAACCTGGTTCTAGGACAGCCATCACCTCTGCTCCTCAGGGCGGCTCAGCAGCACCTCAGCCTCTCCCAAGAAGTGTCAGTCTGAGCTCGGATGTGGCAGAAGGCAACAGGTCTGTGGTCACCACATCTCCTCCAAGAGCACAGCCCAAGCATGTGGAGGGCTGGCAGAAGTGCTGCCCCTGACAACTTATTCCCCCCGCAGAAGTGGGATGAGTGTCTCTGCACAGGGAGAGGGGACTGGAGGGACTGCTGCCCTCAGGGAAATGCTGATCACGGGTTTAGATTTGACCAGAGGGTCTGGCAGTTGTGGGGGAAGGCTCAAGAGCAGAGGCAGAGCAGAGACAGGCACGGGCAGGCGCACGGCGCGCTCCTCCTCACACGTACAAAGCACAGAGGGGGTTCCTCCATCACTCCACCCTTGTTAATCCTCTCACCCTCCTGCTCCCTGGTGCAAATCTGCAAGTTGCCTTCACAAAGCAAGACAAAGCCGAGAGCAGCCCAGCTGAACTGTGATGGCTCCACATCCCTCTGCGCTAGCCCAGAATGCTGAGCACCGCTCCCAGGGGCACATGGTTTGTCCAGAAATATTCCACTGTGCTACCTCGTCCCATCCTTGTTTTCCCACGCCCTCTGTCTTAATCTGAGGGTAAGATCAGTGTCTAATTAGCCACATAAATTGCTGTTTACTGCTCTGGAATTTGCTGCAAATGTTTCTGAAAGAAGAGCCAATCGATTGAAGTGGCCCACGCTGTAGCCATCAAGTCATTAAAAATGATGGAGTTTCATCATTACAAAAACAACCTGAAAACTAAATTCCACCCAAAATCTCACAAATAACAAAACAAAAAAATCCCCACACTGGTCCCCAGTTTGGTACCAGAACCCCCTTCCCAGGCTGTACCTCCTTTGGATTTCCGCCTCCGGTGGGGATAGCCCACTTGCTCCTCCTCGCGCTCAGTCAGATATTCCCCAGTCTGGTATTTCCGACTTTTCTGCCGTCTCCTTTTCTTCCTTTTGATGTGGCCGTCTTCCTCCTCCTCCTCCTCCTCGTTGGGCTCCCACAGCTGCCTGGGTGATTCTGCTCTCCAAGGCAGCTCCCGGGTCCTCCTCGTGTAACAGCTGCTCCTCTCGGACGCAGACCTGTCCCTGTCCCTGCGGCTGTGGCAGTGCGATGTCCTGTGGGATTTGCGCAGCTTGCGATGTTTTGAGGATGTCTCCTCCTCCTCCTCTTCCTCCTCCTCTTCTTCCTGATCCTCCTCCAGTAACGGCAAAATCTCCTGACTGGTCACATCACACTCTCCCGTCACACCAGCAGAAGAGCCAGCGACGCTTCCTGCAGAAAAATGGGATTTCTAAGTGACAAAAAAGCCAAGAGGTTCCTCAAGACAAAGTCTTAAAGCAGAACTGAACACAGAGACAAGGCCACGTGAAAAGGGAGCGCTCCCAGTCCACCCAGGACGGGCACTGGGGGCCCTGACACCAACTCACCTGACTGACTGCGTGTCCGGCTGCTCAGCACCACCGGAATGAAATCCCGAAAGTTGTTCTTGGGCTTCTTCTCCAAGTAACCTGTGAGGAAAACCGAGCCTTGAGAGAACACATCACAGGCCTGTAGCCTGGGAAGGGCAGTACAGTGCCCCCATAGCAGGAGCTGCTGCAATGGGACAAGGGGGATGGCTTTAAACTGGAGGAGATCGGTTTAGGTTCGATATAGGAGAAAAGTGTTTTACAATGAGGGTGGTAAAACAGTGTCAGAGGTTCTCCAGAGAGGTGCAGGGTGCCCCATCCCTGGAAACATCCAAGGCCAGGTTGGACAGGGCATGGAGCAACCTGGGCTAGTGGAAACTGTCCCTGTCCACAGCAGGGGGTGTAACAAGATAAACATTAAAATCCCTTAAGGAATCAGTTTGGCCCCTCAGGCAGCCTGGTGCTGCAGCAGCCCCCCGCCATTCCCAAGAGTACCTTCCTCATGGCTGTCCCCACGGTGTGCTGGAGATGGGCACTCGTTCTTCGCTGGCCTCCTGCGCTTGCGCTTTACCCTGAGGCTGTTGTGATCCGTGACGGAGCCCAGGCTGCCTCGGCCTTCCCGCTTGCCGAGCTCATGCGGATTGTCGTGGTGTTTTTGCCACTGTGAAGGGAGGACACAGGCTGAAGCTGGAGCTGCCAACTGACCGAGCTGGAGCAGCACAGAAGAGAAAAACTCTGTCCCCCACTCACCACACTGGTGCCCTCCAGATCCATTTTTGCCCTGGATAACCTGCGGCACAGGTACGTTCCCCCACAGCCAGGTAACACCCAGAGCATAGGTAGAAAGCCCTGTGCCCTCAGCCATCCCCACCATGAGCGCTCCCTCCTCTCCCCCAGCCCCACCTTTGCCATGACCCAGCAGTCCCAGCCCATCTCACCCACCTTCCGACCATGCACGCTCCGACTCCCTGACTTGCTCGGGGACTCCTCGCCATCCTGGCCTTGGCACTTCAGTCTCTTGTGGCTCTGCCTGCTATCCCCATCGTGCTGCCGCTTGGCCTTGCAGTGTGTGCCGCCCTCCTGCTTGATCTGCCCCGTTCCTTTGAGCTTGGCCTCGGTGAAGGCCTGGGGAGCAGCCCCGGCCTGCAGGCAGGTCGCAGATGGAAAGGACACATCACACTCCACTCGCTCCTTCTTGACCCTGCACAGATCCACCTGCCGCACACACGGGAGGGGCTCTGCAGCCGGCGGCTCCTGGGGGCCCTCGCAGCCCGGCTCCTTGCGCTGGCTCTCCGCGGGCACCTCCGGCACCACCCGCAGGCCCTGCTGCCCAGCCACGGGCAGGTCGTGCGACAAATACGCCGCTAACACTTGGTTTTTGGGTTTTGCATCTGACTGTTTGAGGCTACAGCTCCCCTGGGGAGCCTCAGTCTGTGCACTGCCCTCCTGACCGGAGCCAGCCTCTGGCTGAGTGCGCTCCTGACTCTTCGGAGCGTTGTCCAGCTTTCCCGTCCCCCCTTTCCCATCCAAAGCGCTGGTCTGAAGAGTTGGACCTGCCTCCAGCGGGGCTGGGTTAGCTGGCTCTTCACGGGGCTTGGGCAAGACCCGGCAGCTCTTGCTCTTGGCTGTAGCTTCCCGTTCCTGAGGTGAGAGCCGGGGCAGCCCCTCCGGCAGGCTCTGGGCAGCTGCGCTGGGCTCTGCGGGCTGCACACTCGGGAATGCCGGGAGCTCACCCGCTCCAGCTGGCTTGCAGGGGCTGCTCTGGTTCGGGGGCAGCTGTCCGGCTGTGGAGATGCCAATGGAAAGCAGAGGCGTTTGATGGTAAGGAGACCAGCCCAGAGGCAGAAGCTGAGGATTGGAAGGTTTTCCGTTGACAGGGCATCGTGGATAGACACTTCCCTGGATGGGATTCCAGGTGGAGATGTCCTTGGACTGACACAAAGGAGCTCCTGGAGCGACTCTGCCATGAAGAAGTCTCTTGGCAGGATCCTGCTGTCCTTCCGTGACGACCTGGTTGGTTTTCTTCCCACAGGGAACGCCGGCGCTGCGGGGCTCGCCCTGGTCGATGATGGAGATGGGCTCCTGCTTGGGCAGGTGGCGTGGGTCCCTGCCGAGGCTCATGCCGGGGTCCTTGCTGAGCAGCAGCGAGGCGGGCACCGGGTTGGCGACGCCGACGTAGGTGCCGGGAATGGTGCTGATAAGCGTGGTGTTCTTCACCCAGGAGCCCTGCTCGCCGTTGCGCAGGAACTCAGGGAAGATGACCAAGGGCGGGGTGGTGCCAAGACACGAGGTGACGCTGCTGCCTGCGGCCTGGGCCGCGCGCTGGGACTTGGAGAGGACGGTGGTGAGCAGGGCTTTGCCGCTGGTGTGCACGGGGGTGAGGATGGGCATGGGGGGGGTCTTGCGCTGGCTGGGCGGGGGCAGTTTCTGGCGGTTGGACTTGGAGGAGAGATCAAGAGGCATCTCACTATACTCTGGAGATGAGACCATCTCACGCTCCAGCTGGGGAGGGGACTTCAGAGGAGACAGGGAAGTGGCAGCCCCCGGTGCATGTGGCTCGGGAGCTGCTGGGGCTCTGGCCTGTGCGGTGGTGCCGGAGGAGGGAGCGGCACTCCCACCCGGTGCTGCCGGTGGAGCCTGGCTGGAGGGCAGGGCCGGGCCAGGGGGCAGGGCTGGACCAGAGGGCAGGGCTGGACCAGAGGGCAGGGCTGGACCAGAGGGCAGGGCTGAGACCAGAGGGCAGGGCTGAGCCAGAGGGCAGGGCTGAGCCAGAGGGCAGAGCCGGGCCGGTGCTGGACAGGGGAGCACTCTCGACCGCAGCCTGGGCACCACTTCCACCTGAGGGTGGAGGGCAGCTGAGCTGATTCACCTCCACAGACACCACTTTGGCATCTGAAGCCAAGGGCCTGGTGACAGAGAAAGTGTAGGGGTAGGAGCGCAGCTCTGGGGAAGCAATAATGCCTGGCAGGCAACGCTCGTGCAGGTAGGGAGGCAGGACAGGGAGGGTGAGTGTGGAGGAGACCCCCAGGGTGGCCGGGAGTGTGGCCACGCTGAGCGGCTGCCCACAGCTGGGCGGGGGGATGTACACCAGCGACTGGCTCGGGCTTAGCACGGCACCAGCCTGGAAGGACAGGGGCAGCTTTTGCATAGCAGGGGCCTGAGAGGGGGGAAAGCACACCCTGTTCAATGTGAAGGTGGCAGGAGTGGAGGCAGAGGTGTTGCAGCCGGAGACAACCATGGACAATGTCCCTTCTGCCAGCACGCCTGGCCCTTGTGCTGCAGTGCTCTGGGGGGCTTTCTCCTTCCCAGCAGACTCGCTCTCTGGAGCCACGGAGCAGGCTGGGGCAGCATCAGCCTGCTTGTCACTGGGAGGATCTGCTGGTGTCCAGGCAGTGTCAGCACCACTGCTCTCCTCCTCCACAGCTCTGGGGGTTGCTGGCTCCTGCCCTCTGCCATCCCCCTGACCTGCCAGAGGGCCCAGGGCATCATCTGTCACAGTCTTTCCTGCACTCTCCGGGTTTGGGTTGGGATCAGGTGGCTGCTCCTCCAGTTTGGGTCCAAGCTTTTCCTCCACCTTGCCATCAGCATCCAGCCCCTGGGCACTGCTGCTACCACTGCTGACTGCTGTGAGCTCCACCTGCAACGAGAAGGGAGAAGGTGTTCCTGGGAGCCGTGCAAGTGGCTCCCAGAGAAGCAGGCAGGATCTGCCCACCCAGGACACAAAGGTAGAAGCAGCTAACAGCTCTGCTTCGCGTGTTCCATCTGGGAATGGCCTTCTTGGACCCTGCCATGCAGGCAAGGAGCTCACCTCGGACAGGCTGCTGCTGACACAAAACTCTTGAGACCCCAAGTGCTGGGAGCTGCTCGTTTTAGACTCCTCATCAGAAAGGGGGGCTCTCCTAGGCAAGGAAAAAGACACAGCATTACAAACCCCCAAAATACCCTCCCCAGCATCCCATCCCTCCCTGTCCCTGTGTGGGACAGTGCAGCAGCTGTGCACCTTCCTTACCCACAGCCACCCGGCCTCACCGTGGGCAAGCCCAGCCCTCCCCACTGTGCTGTGTCACAGCCCAGAGCCACACACCCACTCCTGTCCCCTCCACTTTCCATCCTGACCCATCCCTCCCCTGAGCCTCATCCTGCTTGTCTCTCCTTCCACAGGCACCTCATTCCTGTTCCTCCTGCTTGCTCCCTACCCCAGCACCCTCATCCCAGCAAAGCTGGCTGTGGGATCTCTCTCCAATGCCAAAGCTCTCTGGGCTCAGGTGGCCCAGACAGGAGCAGTGGGTGTCCACAGCCATCCCGGTGTGCCATGTTCTGCTGACCAGCATGTCTGACTCTTTCTCTCTGGAATATGATTCCTAAGTGGAAAGCCTGGATTCAGGACAAGGACTGTGACCTCCCAGGGACACTCCTGCCCTGGCAGTATTCACCGGACAGTGTTTCCCTGGTGTTTAAGGGACATTGGGAAAAGCTGCTGGTGCCAGGACAAAACAGATCAAGTCTGGATTCTGTTCACGACATGATTTGAGCTGGATTTGGTCCCTACATCCTGGGCTTTCAGAGCAAAGTCAGAGACACGAGCTATGGGTGCAAGCTTCCTCTCTGGGCTCTGTACCCCCGGTGCCAGGATCTCGCTCCACACCCCTTGCACCAGGACCCTGCTCCGTACCCGCAGCGCCGGGACCCCGCTCGCGGCTGCCTCCGCGCCACCCGCACCCACCCTCGGGTCGATGACAGCTCGCTCAGTTCCTCCAGGCGCTCCCGACCACGCCGGCGCTCCCAGCGCTCCCCCGGACGCCCGTCACAGGCCGCGGGGCGGGGATGGCGGACGGGGCCGGGCCGCCTCGGCGCAGCCGGCGGCGGGGCGGGGTGAGCGGGCCGAGGGGCCGGGGCGGGCGGGAGTCCCGGGGTCCCGGCGGTGCCGGGGCCGGCGCGGTCCCCGCGGGGCTGGGGCGGCGCCGCGGCCGAACGCGAGGGGAGCCCGAGCGCAGCCGCCCGCCCGCGGCCCCGCGGGGCCCGCCCGGGCACGGCGCTCCCCGGCGCTCCCCGGCGCTCCCCGGCCCGCCGATACCTGCAGGGACCCCCCGCCCAGCCCCCGACAGCCGCCCCGGGGCAGCCCCGAGGGTGGTGCGCGGCCTCCGCCCGGCCGAGGCTCCTCCCGGGGCGGCGGCCGCGGGGCAGCCCGGGATGCCCGCTCGGGATGCCCGCCCGCAGGGCAGGGCCCGCGGGGACGGGGCACAAGCGCTGCCCGCGATGGGATGGGGATCGCGGATGAGGGAGCGCCCGCTCAGCCCCCCCTCCTCGCCCAGACACTCCAAAATTTGACGTCTATTGTAAGCTCGGAGCGGCGCCGAGAGGTTCGGCGGGTATCGCCATCGCAGCCCTTATCTGCGGGGCGCAGGGCGCCCGGCGGTGCTGCGGGCGGCAGATCAGCTCTGCCCCGAGCCAGAGCCGGGGCTCGTCCCTGCCCACCGCTGATCCAGCGGCCTCGGGGGACGCCCCGCCAAAACCCTCGGCACTCCCGGCCAGAAATGAGAGCCACGCACTGCCTCTGCGCATGTAAAACCTCCCTGGCTCCGGCAAACGCGTGGAACAGACGTGGTGGGCTTGAGGAAGCCACAAACTGGGCAGTTCTGAGAACAAGACCCCCAAGCCACAGGAATGAACAGCCGATGCAAAGCCCTGGGGACTGCCAGGAGCTTGGCTTGATCGATTCTGCCTCCCAGCCACTAATCCTCCCTAATCTCCTGTTTGGTGGCAAGTCATAACTCTCCCATCTGATCATTTGGTTGGTACAAACCCTCCCCTAGGTCACCAAAAGCTCTTGGTTCAAGATCTTTCACTTCCTTAGCTTTGAGAGCACAGATCTGGTAAAGCCAATAGCACATGCAGACAACTTGGCCTTGTCACCACCAAAGCTGTGGAGGCAACACAGCCACACACAAGCAACAGATCCTCTGCAGAGACCTTGCTGGAGCACAGGGTGCGGGGACCCTCCTGAAATGCCATCACAGCCAACACATCCAACCCCTCCCTGCAGCTCTTCTGCACCTCAGGCCATTTCAGACCCCAGCAAGTCGCCTTCTCCCTATCTCCTTTTCCCTGCCCGCCACCCACGCACCTCACCTCTCCTCGTTGAGGCCACACATGCGAATCCGCTCTGTGCTGGTCCAGTTGTGCACCCCGCTGTAGAGAGGTGCCGTAGAGATCATGACAGCTGCTCCTCACCCTCTGGGACCTGCTGGGGCTCGAGGGGCCGCTCTGCCTGTGGAAGGGAAACAGAGGGTTGGGAACTCTCCCCGGGATGATTGATTAAACGGTGCTCCTGGGAAACTCATCCCCAGCTTCGCTGCCAGGCAGATGGGGAGGGATGCCCTGGGATGCCACAAGTCTGGGAGGGGACTAGAAGGAATCAGCAGTGCCTTGAGACAGAATCCACCATCCACTCATCCTTGCACTAAATAACATTATCACCAAAAAAACACTGGCTACCCTGAGAGTTTCACACAAATGTCTTCTCACACACACACACACACACACACATATGCATCCCTCAAAACATTCCTCCACTTTTCTCCTCCCTCCAGAGGAACTTCCAGTGCCGGGAGCTGCCAGGCAGAGCTGTACCAAGGCGATGGTCTGTGACAGCACTGACACCCCCGAGGCTTAACAGGACTAAGGCAGTGCGTGGCGAGTCCAAGGGGCAAAGCCTCAAACAAGGAGGGGTCTGGAGGGAGCAGAGGTTTGCCAACAGTGCCGCCAAGGGATTATCCCCTCCCTCCGTCAGGAAAGTGCTGGTATTCCGTGGAGTTACGGGTGGAAAACAGGAGGGAATCCAGAGATTCGGGAGCATCCACGACGCACTGTCGGCTGGGTGGAGCTTTCAGGGGAGAGCGTTGCAGCCAATCGTGCAGCGCTGGGTGTTGGAGCATTGAGGAGCTCTGCTGCTCCAGGGAAAAGGCAGCGCAGGAAGAGAGGATCTCCTGTGCTAACAAGTGGACTCAGCCGAACCAAGCAGGACTGGACTGCAAAAGGGAGAGAGATGCTATCAAGGAGGTTCAGGGAAATACTAAACCCCAGAGGTAAAGCAGGCACAGAGCCACAGCAACGCTCTCGGTGCAGCGGTGGGAGTGGGAATGAGCTGAAAGCAGCACGTGATCCCAAATCTCCGTCGGATCTTTTCCCTGACAAACTCCTGGTGACACCAGCTCTGCACGGGACGAGCAGCAGCTTGTGCCATGAAAGGAGCCACACAGGGACCTTCTGGCCAGTGGCTCGAGGGACCGAGCAGTGGGACTGAATGGCTGCTCCAAACACAGCTTCTGCCGGCTGTCCTCGCTGCAGCCTGATCCAGTGAGGATCCTCCGGAGAGGAAAAAAGGGCCAGGCACACGGGAGAAACAGGGGCAAGGCAGCTGGTGTGCCAAAGAGAAGCAACGGACCCATCTGCACGTACGAGGGCACAAGTGAGCAAACAGAGTACGGAAATCAGAGGTCAGGGGAAGAGGGGAAACCTGCTAAAAACACACACTGTGAGACGGGAGAAATCCTCAATAGCGGCGGGGGAGCCGGGCAGACGCCGAGGCAGAGAGCAGGGTCATACCCAAAGAGAACGAGGTGGCTTGGAGCAGGAAGGGGAGGAGTCTTTCGATGCTTGGAGAGAAATGCAACATAAAGGAAATAGGGGAACAAACAATCTGCGGGGATTTCACCATCTTAGGCTAAACTGAAAGAAGGGGAGGAGGAAGGTTCTGCCCCCGAGCACAGCAGCAGGACAGATGTTCTGGGAGGAATCAAAAGGGACCTTCTGTGCAACGGGGGAAGGGGATGCGTTTGGCTGCACAACGCGGAGCAGGAGCTGGGGACAAGCAGAGATCAGGCGTGACCCTGGAATAGGTCTGGCAAGGGAGGAGTGATAACGGGGTGGTACGAGTAGCTGGGAGAAACAGCACGTTTGGAGTGCTCGAGTAAGGGCTGGTCCAAAGAGCAGGCACGACGGCCACAAAAAGAGAGCTGGGAGGACACAGCGACAGAGATCAACACTGTTTCATGGATTCTTGGCCTCTATCCTCTATGGACGATGTGGGACACGTGCCAAAGACAGGCATTTCGCAGGGAACGAAGAACAGAAGAGGAAAAGAATCCAGATATGAACTCAGAGAAGGAATAAAACAGGGGTCGAGCACCAGATGTGGGCTCTAACACAAACTAGCGGAGCAACAGCATCCTTAAGAAGGCAGACCAGGAAGTTTATTGGGAAATGTAGGGATGAGCAACCTCCCGAGGTAACACTGAACCAGAGAGAGCAACCGCAGCCTCCCTGGGTCAGAACACTGTTAGCCAAGTCGACACGAGGAAACGGAGCAAATCTCCCATCTACACTGGTGCAGCTGGAAGCGACTTTAAAGGGATGTAATTAAACTCGTAGGAAACCCTTGGAGAACACAACTAGGGCATGGCTTCACGTGCCTGCCTTCGAGTAGAAGATGATGTTGAAGAAACTGTTGAAGCCCTTCTCTCCCCTCACCCCTTCAGTCATGTCACTGAAGCCCTGCAGTGTCCTGGTAAACTTGACCAGGGAGTTGACCTCTGTTTAAAATCCTTTTTCCTTTATTTTTTTCCTGGCTGGACTGGTTTTAACCCATACCAGCTCCTAGATCAGCTTCCCCAAGAGGGAGAGAGGGCACAGCCTGGCACAGACTCTACTTAATCCACAACGTCTGCCAAAGGAAGTGTATATGAAACCACAGTCTTATTTTGATTTAGCTAAATAGGTGCTCAGCCAATTCTAATTAACGCCAAAGCAAACGAGTTTAGAATGAAGTAAGAACATCAACACGGCATTCTGCGTGGAGAAGCTTGTGTGGTATTAAAGCACCTTCACCTCCCAAAACAGAACGTGCCCTAAGAACTGCCAGAGAACTGCGAGAACACGCTCACCTCCAATGACAAGCCCTCAGAGAGGTTTGCAATGAAATACAGTGAATTAAAAGAAAAAGGGGTTTTGTTCATTAAGGTAAAACCTCTCATCATTTTGCAAAAGGAGAGGATGCTACTCTGCAAACCTGCCTCTTACAGGCTCCAGGAAAAGCAAAACAGAAGATGTTTTCCTTGCAGTGAAAGCTTGCATTTACTCAGGTTAGCAATGACTTGGCTACACGTGGAAGTTCCCTCGGATTAAGTCAAGAAATTACTCTCTGTTCTGAAATACCACTGTATGGTGATGGAAACAAGTTTCCTGCATTGAAGGTCTTCAGGAATGGATAATTTCTAATCACTATCTCTACACAAATCCTTCTTGCAGTAAAATCCCCACAGTGCCAAGACAACCATCGTTTCAGTGCAGGCCAACCCAGGGTTGCAGGACGGACTCCCCTGGCCTTCACCTACCAGCTCCCGCCGCTGATGAGAATTAAGCCCACGTCATCTCCATGCTGACCCCTGTTAAACCCTGTCTGTTCCCTGGCTCTCAGGGATCCCAACTTGAGTTGCCCGAGGTGAGAGTTTCTAATTGTTTCCTGCTGCAACACTGGCCCTCACACTCACACCTCCCACCCCACTGTTAGGCTGTTGCAAAGGCATTGCAAAGTTGATTCAAAAGCCATCCCTCCCAGTGACAGAGATCCCTCGGCTGGATCAGGCCCCTGATCTGACTAAATTCTCAGCTCCTCAAGCCCTTGCCTTGGCAAACATATAAAGCAACTTCTCAGGCTGGCACCAACCTGCCCGCCACAAGTAGCCAAGGGTTTGCTTGTCACTGGGGAGTTTGGTGCTGTTGGTGTTTGCCCTCACAGATGTCACAGCTACGTTGCCACCTGGTCTAACTCACTTTGATCAGATTAACCAGAGCCATGACCTCCTACAGCGTCCACCCTACGGTACCTGGGGTGGAGCCAGGCCCACCCATGCAGGAAGAGGGCTTTTCCCTGCTCCTCCCACAGGCAACCACTTCTCCATGTTGCAAACGCATCCCTGTGTAGGACTGTGCTGCCCTGACCCCCCACAAGAAGCTTCCCATGTATTTTCCTGCTCTGTACATTTCCAAGTACTAAAAGCACTTGGATGTCAAGCTGTTTACCCTTCCTCTCCCCCATCCCAGCCTCGGCACATGAGCTACACACCAAGCGATAGACACTATCCCTGCTGCACCCTGTCTAGGCAGATGTGAGGTGACAGGTACTGAAACACCAGCAGTCAGTCTCTTAAAACCCCCCAGCACAAGGATTCCCGCCACCTGGCTCCAGGCAGGCACATCACCCTCAACGCAGGTGGGAGAGCACCAAGCAAAGACCCAACCAGGAGCAACGCGCACCATTGCCAGAGCTCAGCCAACAGCACGAGTTCACCCAGGAGAACATCAGCTTTGCCTTTCCCCCTGCACAAGTGGCAGCCACGGCACGAGCCAGATCCGTGGATCCCGCTGCCATTCACTCACTGAAGCTCTGGAGTCTTTAGGGACAGAGTAAACACTGCCCCATCGGTGGTGCCTCCACTCACGCTGGCATTGAGTGCGCCAACGGTGCAGAGGAAGAAAAGGGACTTTCCAGCCTTAGGGTATGGAACAGGAGAGAGGCCACCTCTGCAGCAGGAGGGATGGGGACGGGGAGGACACGGTGGCTGCCCTCCCATGGCACCGTGTGGTTCTTGTGGCCAGGGGACGCTGCGGAAGGCCGGGAGGGATGCACTTTGACCCTGGAAACACACCTGCGGGAAACACCTTTGAAACATTCATTCCCAGAGCAGCAAAGCCTTGAAGGAAGGGGGTCCTATCCCCTGGATGGCTACAAAATATAAAATGAGGTCAGCTGCTGGAAACTCAAGTGGGATTCGGTGCTCAGAGCGCAGCCGGCCACTTTGATGGGAGTGGGAGCAGCGGAATGAGGTGGGATGTGCCCTGTGGCTCTTCCCGGCGCTCAGGTGGGCCAGAAGGGAACAGTCTGCAGTGACAGGCAGGTCTCCCTTCCCTTGCCATAGTTTGTTCACTTTGGCAATTCTTCGTTGCCATTAGTAACACAGGCAAGGAACTATATTTGTTTTGATATGTGATGGCCTGGTGTCCATTGAAGGTGCAGAGGGCCGGAGTGAGTGCCAATCCCGAGAGCTGCCCAGGGCGCCTCAGCTCCAAGCACCGCTTTGGAAAACCCTCTGGAGCAAACTGCTGACAAAAAAATTAAAAATTGAAGAAAAAAATTGAATCAAAAGCCCCACGACAGCCCTCTCGCAGGACTCGCAGCGGGCACGATATTCAGCAAGGGAAAAATTTAGACTAGAAACTGAAAGAAAGAGAGCAGTTTATCTTATATTATGTTACCACACGCTCAAGGGTCAGAAACTGTAGGAGAACGGACCAGGAATGACTAGAGTGGCACAAAATCCAGTAAGGATGGGCCAGGCCATCTCTGTGGCTGTCTGGGCAGAGCAGTGCCCAGCAACAGTGGCCCAGAGCCGGGTTTGGTCCCCGCTGCCTGCACAGCAGCCCCGGCCGCTGCGGAGCTGAGCCAGGCTTTGCCTACACGCATTTGCTTAAGCTGATTTAAAGACACAGTAACACCACACGTAATTATATATCCTCAGCACGATGAATTGGAAATATAAAAGAGAAAACCCATCCTCATTTCAGAAAAAAATTAAAAGTTTGGTGCACACTGGGCAGTGCTGTGATAATCGGTCCCAGCTGCTGGACGACTGGTGTCACTAAAGCCTCACTCGCCCACAACAACCAGGCTTGTCCCCACCAAAGCCCACGAATTTTTAAGGACTGAAAAAGAGCCATTAAGGGACGACAACATTCAAAAACGTCTCTGACAAGGTGCACATCGTCCAAAATCCCACAGGCAGAGCATAGCCTCCTGAGCCCAGGAGCCAGGCTGGCATTCCAGAGCCCAGAGGTTCCAAGGGCAGCTCTGAAGGCCAAACCCCATCAGAGCCTGGGCTCTGACACTTGGAATGCGCTTCCAGACTCAGGTGACAGCGACGGAGCCATTGCTCTCGACAGGCATCACACCGCCTCCAGCCAGTGCCGGGACCAGGACCAGCTAAACCCAAGGGCTAACCAGGGTGATGGAAGTGGCACAGAGGGAAGGAAGGGAAGGAAGGGAAGGGAAAGCTGCTGCAAAAATGGCCAAAAAGATGCAGAGGAGCTGCGAAGGGCACGGGATGCACTGGCCCTGCCCTGGCACTGATCCCCAGACTCCAGGGGACGAGGGTGCTGGGGAGCAGATGCTCTGCGAGAGGAGAAACTTGCTTCGTCTCTATTTTAGCCTGGAAGACCTTTTCCCAGTGCTGCTCTGAACCGGCCTCACCCAGGCTGGGATGAGGGCACCGATGTCGCTCACCGAGGAGCCAGGACCCCTCCCGGTACCGACCACACCGCCGCGGGAGGGCTGGTTTCCTCCCCGGTGAGAGCGGCAGGAAGCGCCGCCTCCTCCGCCCGGTCCTGCCGCTGCCCGGCCATCACCGTGGGCACGGGCGGGGGGACCGGCCGCCCCCGCCGCCCCGCCCCGGCCGCGGGGGGCGTCGGCGCGGAGCGGCACCGCCCCGGCCCCGGCCCGCCCCGAGGCCGGGACCGCGGGGGTTTCGCGGCCGAGCTCCCCGCCCGCGGCACGGCACGTCCCGCTCCCGAGCCCCGCGAGGCCGCGGCACGGCCCACGGCCCCGCGGGGCGGGCACCCCCCCGCCCGGGACACGGCGTCCCCCGCGGCCGCTCCGGGGGTTTCGCCCCGCACCCCGCAGCCCTGCCCGGGGCCAGGCCCCGCGGCGCTGTCCCGCGGCGGCTCCCACAGACCCCGGCTCAACAGTTTGCCCCCGGGGCCGCTCCCCGGCGGAGCGTCCCGCAGCCCCGGCGGTCGCGGCCGGGTCCCCGCGCTGCCGCACCGGGGCAGCCCCGGACATGGAGGTGGCGGCGGCCGCGCTGCCCCCGGGGACGGCTCTTCCGCCACCGCCCGGCGCCCGCCCGGCCGGCACCCGCGGCCGGACCGGCCCCGGGCACGGTGACGGCCGGGGCGGGCTCGGGCCACGCCGCCAAACTCCGCGAGCGCCCGGCGCCGCCGTCCCGCCGCCGCCCCGGGAGCGCCGCGCTCCGCGGCCGCCCCGCCCGCCCCAGGACCCCCGCACCGCCCCGGCAGCGGCAGGTGCCGCCGGTGCCGGAGCCGGAGCCGCCGCGCCGGGCTGGGCAGCGGCACCGCCGCGCCGTCGCGGGGCGGGAGCCGGAGCCGCCGCCGCCCTTCGCTGCCCTCCGCCCGGCGCTGTCAGTGCCCACCGCCCCGCCGCGCCCCCGCCGCTGTCCCGCCGCAGGACGCTGCCGTCCCCCAACCCCGCACCAACCCCCGCGCCGCCCCGCCGCCGCCCCGGGAGTGTCCAGGACCGTTTCCATGGAGACCCCGGCCGGACGGCCAGGAAGAGGTCAGGCCGCCCGCTCCCCCGCCCCGCTTGCCCCCGCCGGCCGTGGGTGCGGGGCGGCGCGGGCCCGGGGTGCCCGGGCAGCGGGGCCGGGGTCCGGCGCGGGGCGGCGCGGGGCGGCAGGCACGCACCTGCTTCCCGAGGCGGGCGGGCGGCGGGGGCGGCGGGCCAGGGCGGGCCCCTGCCCCAGGCGGCGGGTCGGACCCCGGGCGCTGCGAGCGGCGGTTCGGCGGCGACGGCGGCGGCGGAGACACTGGCAGCGGCAGCCGGAGTGTGAGGGCGAGAGCGAGCCGCGGCCGCGCGGGCTGCCGGGAGCCGTAGTCCGTCCGCCGGGGCCGGGAGCCGCCGAGCCACCCCGCGGACTGCGGGTCCCGGCGTGCCGCGCGCCCCGGCCCGCGCGGGGGGGCCGGTCCGGAGAGGGAACGGGCGGGCGCGGGGAGGGAGCGAGGGAGGAGCGCGGGGAGGGAGGGAGGGGGCTCCGCGCCCGGCGCGGCCCCGGGAGGGGCGCGGGGGGGAGGCCGCCGCGCCCGGGGCTCGGCGCGGCACGGAGCGGAGCGGCTCGGTACAGGGGGGAACCCCACGCACACACACGCCCCGCACACACACACACACACACACACACACCCGCCCGACCCCGCGCCGGGGCACCGGCTCCCGCACCGGGGAGCGACGCTCGCTCCGCACCGGGGGAGGAGGAGGATGGAGGAGGAGGAGGAGGCGGCGGCGGGGGCGGGCGCTCGCTCCACGCCCGGGCAGCGTCGGGCGCCCGGCAGCGGGCAGAGCCGGACGGGCAGCGCGCGGCGAGCGCGGCGCACGCAGCCCCGGTGCCCGCAGTCCCGATGTCCCCAGCCCTAGAGCCCTCAGCCCCGGTACCGCCTCCCCGATGCCCTCAGCCTCGTGCCCGCCGCCCCGGTGCCCCCCGCCCGGTGCCCGCCGCCGGGCGCGGCCGCGGGGGGGGTGGGTGTCCCCGAGTCGGTGGAGCGGGCGCGGACCCGCCTGTCCAGCCCAAATGGGCGCAGGGCCCCTGCCCCGGCGACGATGCCGCTGGGTGACCTCCCGGGCCCCGTAACCCCCCTGCCCGATGCCCCGCCGGGCGCGCAGCGCTGCGGGGCGGGGGCGGCCCCGGGCGAGGGTCGAGGCACCTCCCCCACGCCATGCGGGGCACCGAGCGGTACGGCACGGCACGGTGCGGCGGCCGCAAGTTTGTCACCGGCCCCCGCCCGCGGCACCGGGGCCCGCAGGCCCGGAGGCCGCCGCACCCCCCGCAGTGCCCCGCCGGGCCCGCCCCGCACCGTCCCGCACCGCCCCGGCGCTGACAGCCTCGCCCGGCCCGGGGCCGCGCCGCCCTCGGCCCCCGCACGGGCCTCGGAGACCGGCGGCCCCGCAGCGCCCTGGCGCGGCCCCGCCGTGCGGGCACCGGCTGCCCGGCCCGGCCCTGCCCGGCCACGCCGCCCCGGGCCGTGCCGGGCCCCGCGCAGCACCGCCCCGTGCCCGCTCCTTTCCCCGGCCCCTCGCCCCGGCCCCGCCGCCTCTCCGCCCGGCCCCCGCGTACCGACAGCTGGGGGGGCCGCGGGGGTCCCCGTTCCTGCGCGACCCGGAGGGGAGAGCGGGATGCGGCCCCCCCGGCCCACGGCGCGGTGCCTGCGCGGGGACGGGCAGTACCGGCTGGTCCCGGGGCGGGGGGCGCGGGGCCGCCACCTCCTCACCCGTCCCCGTGCGGTGACACCGCGCTCCGGCGTGGAGCGGCTCCGGGGGCGGGCGAGGGCCGGGGGCTGCCCGGGGCCGGGCCCCGCAGGGCTGCGGGGTGGGCTCGGAACAGGGCGGTGCTCCGGTCACCGTGGCCCCCGATACCGCGTGGGCGCCGGGGGACCTGGTGGGTGTCACCGTCCCTTGCCCGTGGCATGCTGCTCAGACCCCCGCGGGCTCCACTGACGATCCCTGTGGCGTCCATGCTGCCCTGATGCTTGTAGGACCTGTTTGCCCCCGCGGTTTGGCCCATGAGATGGTAAAAATCTCTTTTTGGCTCAGCATCTTCCATGGCCAGGGTCTCCGAGAAGTGGGCACGGGCACCAGGGTGTGGCCACCCGCAGCTGGCACATCTGATTGGCACCCACACCCTGGTGTCACCTGCCCAGAGCGTCCTCCGCAGCCTCAACCCCAAACCTTTCCAGTGCCTAAGGAGAGGAAAAAACATCTTACACAGGGATCGAGCTACTATTTTTCTCCAGAAAGGTCGCAGCAGCCTGGGGCAGGAGGTGGCCCCTCACCCCTTGGGGGTGTGGGGGCTTGGGGAGCTGTTTAGGGCAGGGGTCTGTGAGCAGAAGGGTGCTGAGTGTGTGAGGCATGAGATCTGGGAATAGCAGGTAGCACTCTACAGGGTGACAGGGTGAAACATGGGGCTGGCACAACTGTGAGAAGGCAGAGAGCCAGGGCTATGCCGAGGAAGGCCATGAGGGAGGAAGCTCTTCCTGCAGAGGGGGGAATTACTCCACTTCTCCCCATTATATTGTACCTTCTCCTGCAGTTGGCTCCAGCCAGAGTGCAGAGGAGATGCTCCAAGAGGTATTTCAGGCTGGGTGATGGTCAGGATGTGGGGCCGGCACAGCCTGCAATGGGCACATGACCCCAGGTTCATAAGGACCTGCCTTATTTGCATCCTGGTGCAATTAAAAACAGACAGTTTGAGTAACAGCCTCATCCTGCAGCTGCCTCACCCCATCGCTGCAGGAATTGCACCCAGGGATGCACGGTGCTGGCTGGGAGAGTTCTGCATCCCACCATTGTGTCCTCTGACACACCACTGCTTCTGTCCCATTTAATTAAGACCCTTGAAATCTTCAGGATGGGATAATTTGCACCAAAAGGCTTTAAAGGGTGATGCTGAAAAATTCTATGTCTCTTTATGTTCCGGGGAAGTGGGAAAGTTTGGGGGATAAGGTGCTGCCTCCATCAGGGAGTGGAGTTAATCAGACACCAGTCACAGACTAATTGCAAGAAAGGCCAAAAGGAATGATCTGCCACAGCAAAAATATGATGAGGAACCCTCAAGGTAATTCTTCAAGGAAGTCAAGCCAGGTTATACACCATGGAGGGAGCTGGGGGCTCCTTTACCTCCTCTCCATCCTGGGGATATGTCTCACTGGACTCCCCAGCCGTGGGCAGCCCTGGCTGCTGCCTCACCTTGGCATTTCCCCTGTACCACCTTCCTGAGCAGCCACACTCCACAGGTCCAAGGGCACCCATGTGCCCTCCAAGTGTCCAGGGCAGCCCCTGACCTGTGTGTCCCCTGCCTGCTGTGGTTCCCTGGGTCACCAGGGCCTGAGCACTCAGCTCTGACCTGGCCCGCAGCCACTGTTGTTGCTGCTTTTGTCATTACTGCTCCATTTTGTGTCTCTTTTTTATTTATTTTGCCCCTTCCCTCTGGTTTTTGAGTAGGATCCACATCACTCTCCCCTCCCTGAGCCAGAAACTGGAACACGTTGGCTAACACACTCTGCTCCTGCCAGGCTGCAGTGGGGAGACCCTGTCCCTTGTGGGGACCATGTTGGTGCCATCTCCAAGCAGCTGGGCTGGCAGGCCAGGGGATGCAAAAGGGCATCTCCAGATCAGCCAGGATCACAGAGCCTTCTCCTCTGGCAGGATGGTGGCAGCTGATGGTGGCAAGGGTGGCTTGCAGCTCCTGGCACCACAAGAAGAGGGCTGTGGTCATGCCTCGTGTGCTTGCTGCAATGTCACATCCATGTCACCACCCTGGACACCTCGGCTTCCACTGGGAAGGTGGGGTCGGGGCTCAGGAGTCAGGGGAGGGGTGTCCTGTTGGAATTAACAGGGTGTCCATTGCTAGAGGTCTCTCACTGGGTTTCTTGGGACTTCTCTGAAGAAAGATCCTCTGTGCTGCTCCCTGCGAAGTGGTCAGAGCTCAGCTGGGTTTGGTTGGTGCAGTGACACTGGCGAGAGGTGTCACCTCTAACTACAGCCCTTGTCCTCACATGTTTCTTGGGCCATCCCTGCTCAGACAACGAACACTGGCAGCACAGGTGACAGTGCAGGTAGAAGGTGACACTTTGTCAGAGTGGTTGCTTTCTCCTTCCTGCTGGCACCCAGGGCCAGGGAATGGTGGGCAGGGAGGCCACGAGTTCTGGTAGGGATGTGACGGAGACAGGCTCCTGCTTACTGTCCTGCTGTGCAACCCCTCTTCTCCCTGCTCCCCAAGGGATCTGGGACTCAGGAGGGACATGGAATGGAGTCCCACCTCCTGCGTGAGAAACTGGATCTGTTACGAGCTCAGAGGTTGACATTTTGAACCCGGCCGCTGGGGACAAAACAAGGCTGCTCCTGCCTCAGGAAGGGGATTTCACAGATTGAGGTTTTAGGTGGCTTACCCTTGGACCACCCATGGATGCCCCAGGGAGCTTGGGGCTCGTCTCTTTCTCCTTGCGCACTCTGGGCCTCCGTGCTGGCCAGAGAATAGTGGAGAAATGAGGCATCACCCCTGGTGAGCAGCATGGACAGGAGTCAGCAGGCATACATTGCCTCTGCTGCCCTTCTCCTCCTCTACATCCCAGGAGAAGCCCTGGGCTGGGAGGGCACCGCTGATGGATGAGAATGTGGGATAAAGCGGGAAGGAACTGTGTTGTGCCTCCGAGCCACTGGAAGAGCTGGCAGCCAGGGCAAGGGCAAAGTGATGGAGAGAAGGAGGATGCGGTGGGTGAGCAGAGCTTAAGGTGCCAGGGGAGCCCCAAAAATCAGGCATGGAGGCCTCCAGGGCTGACAGGGGTGAGAGGGGTGCCCGCAGTGAGCCCTGGCTCCACTCCAGCCCTTTTCCGCGCAGCAGGAGGCTCCGGAGAGCAGCTGGCTGCGGGCAGAACTGGGCCTGCCCCTGCTCCCAGGCTGCCACGCCAGATTCCTGCTCCTTTAGTATCCGTCCCCCAGCCCTGAACCCCCCAGGTTCGGCCTCGTCAGCCGCCTGGGGCTCCTAATTGTAATGGCAGACAAAGAGCCGGGCTCTGACCGCAGCACTGCGTCTGGCAGCCTGTGCCTGGGGACGCTGGAAGTGCTGCCGGCAGCCCCGGCAGGGGCTGTGTGGGGGCCTGTGGCCCCCCAGGAGCTGGAGGCTGAAATGGCCAGCGATGCCCAAGCCTCAGGCATCACCCTCAGGCTCCTGGCTGCAGCCCCCCACCGCTGATCCCTGGGACTGGCTGTCATGCTCCACAGAGGGATGTGGGAGGACCTGGTTGCTGCTGCTCTGCCATCAGAGAAGCCCCCGCGGGGGCTCCATGTGGCCCTGGCTCAGGGCAGGGCATGGGCAAGTGAGGACGGTCGGGTTGGGAGGGGAGGTTGTGCAGAGGGAACGCGGAGGGAGCTGTAGGAGGGAGGGGCGTGGGGGCTGAGCCAACCCTGCGTTTCCCACAGGCACCGAATGGGCACTGGGTGTGTGTGTGTCCCAGCGTGTGTCCCAGCGGTGCTCCCGTGCTTCTCCCTCCTGTCTCTGCAGCGGGAGCTCCGGGTTTGCCAGAGATCCGCTGTGTGTGGAACGAAAGGTGCCACCTCTGCGGTAGCTGTGCTCAAACGAAGCTGCTATTGTAACACTGGCCAGGGCACACGTACACGCAGCTGCCTGCCAGGAGGACATCTGCCTCTGCTCACCCCCCGGCTTGGCCTCAATCCTGCCCATTGGGGACTGTCATGTCCCCTCTGGGAGGTTTTTGGTGCTGTAGCTCTGCTGGAGCTCGGCCAGGTGTCCCCCAGCTCCCAGATGCTGCTGGTTTGGGGACGGGGTACCTGTTCTCCCCAGGTGTAGGGGTCCAGCACGGTGTCTGCTCCCCACCTGCTGTCCCTGACATCCCATCCTGGCCCCCACGTGCCACTGGGGGAGCTGCAAGGTGACAGCTGGGACAAAGTCATCAGGGGGACACGGGGATTTACCCTCTCCTCCCCAGGCTGGGGACAGGCAGGGACCCGCCACCTCCAGGAGACCCTGAATATGACAGCACAGCCCGAGTGAGCGGGTCCCCACTCGTGAGGGGGACAAGGCTGGTGGCGGCTCCAGCTTCAGGACGTTCGGAGCCGCAGCTGCCGGTGTCCCAGCGCTGTCACCGAACCGATGTGAGGAGCAGTGGGTGACACCACAGGCACCCCGGAGCCACCGAGGGGCCCGGCCACCCGCGTTCCCGGGAATGGCCCCACTGCGGGGTGAGGGTCCCGGCTACAGCATCTCGGCGGAATCTCCGGCTCAGGTTGTGCCGTGCTGGATACGGCATCTCCATGGAAACCCCCGGCTCGGGCGGTGCGGGCTCGGGAGATGCCATCTCCACGGAAACCGCTGCGGCGCCCGGATGCGGCCGGGATGCGCCGGGCACCGGTACCGCGGAGGAGAGATGGGGTGTCGGGGAGCCCTTGGTGCGGGGCGATGGAGGCTGAGAGGCCTGGGGAGCGGGGACCACCCCGCCCCCTGCACAGGAGGGACAGGGAAGTTGGGGGGAGCACTCCTGTGCCTGAAATTCCAAGCCCAAACCTTCCTGCCCTGCCCTCTTCGTCCTACACTGTGCCAGGCTGAGCCTCCCACCTCCATTCGGCCTGGGGGGGCTCAGCCCCTCTCCCACCCCGGGGAGTGGAGCCCGTTCTGGGGAGGACTGTTTCCAACCCATGGGGGCTGAGGGTGTTCAGGGAGATGGAAATCCCCTGACCCTAGTGAGCAAAGGCACAGGGTCCCGGGGATCCTGGGGTGCTCTATGACAGCCCCAGTGCTTGCACTCACATCCCGAGCTTGGGAAGCCAGAGGGACAAGATTTCAGCTGCAGAAACAGCCCAGATGAAATATTTTACAGGTTATTTATAGCCTGCATTAAAAAAAAAATAACAAAAAAGAAACAAAAAACCCTCAATCCCAAAAAGAAACAGCGACCAAAAAGCCTTTTGTTTGTTGATTTTAAATCTGCCTTTTACTCCATCCCGCTCCCACTGGCCTCTCAGGATGGCGGGTGCAGGAGCCCGGCTGCACCGGCAGCTCCACTGCGCTGGAGCAGCCCTTGGGCTCAGGCTCCGGCTCTCCCGGTGGGTCCCTGTCCCGGGGGACCCCGCGGTGGCTGTGCCGCTGCCTCGGCACGTCCCCAGCTCCACAGCAGCCCCGCCGCCCCTGTCCTGGTGCCCAGCGCCCCGCGTGTGCCAGCCGGGCTGTGCTGCCCAGGGCCGGGATTAGCCCCCGCTCCCCGCTGGCACCGGGAGCTGCTCGGCCGCCCTCGCCGCGGCTCCCGGCTCCGTAAGCCCGGCTTTGACGTAGCCCGGAAAGTAGGCCAGTAAGAGCAACCGCAGCCGCTCGCAGCTCTCGGGGGACGCGGCGCTGGGGCGGCCGAGGGAAGGCTGCGTGTTCGCGCCGCTGCTCCGGCGCTCCCGCGGCCGAGGTGGCGGCCGGCGACAGCAGGGCTTTTTGTCCAGGTTCTCCCCGACTCGCACCTCGTCCGGCAGCCAGAGGCCGGCCCTGCTGCAGCGGGAAGGGCGAGGATTAGGCGGGGGAAGTCCCCGCAGGGAGCCGTCCCCAGCCCGCAGCCGTGCCGGGGCTCTGGGGGCTCCCCGGCTCTTTTCTGTCCCCCCTGCAAAGGGCTCTCCCAGCCAAAACTCCTCTCCTCACCTTCCCCGCCGCCTGGCATCCCCCTTTCCTGCAGCAGACCTGGAACTGGGTATTAACTAAGAAACCCCATGCTCCTGTGCCCAGCAAATCCATTTCTGCAGGGAAGTCAGAGGGACAAGCTTTGCCTTGATGTGGGAGCTCTGGATGAGCCTGTGCCAGAGTGGGGGGCCGGCCCAGCCACCTGGAGGGGCCAGAAGGTTGGCATCAGTGGCCCCCAGGCACCAGGATCCCTCCTCCAACTCATCCCAGCAGCTCATGCTGATGCTTTCCCTGTTTATTTTTGAAGCATCTCTGGATACTGAAAGCCCCAGTTCGAGCCCAGTCCAAGCCCAGTGCTGCTGTTCCTTGCAGGATGAGGCAGATCCAGCAGTCTGGCTGCAGCTGTTCCCTCCTACGCTGAGCATCACCCACACTCAGGCTGCTGGACACACCAGCTATGTGTGAAGCAGCCTTAGTACGGGGATCTGCACCTTGGCAGGTTCCCTCGCTGCTCCAGGTGATCCAGCAGCAAACCCACCTGCTTCACCAAGGCCTGAGCTGGTGTCACACCTAGTGGCCCTGGTCCTCTGCAGGATCTGCAGCCCAGGAGGGGACTGCCCTGTGCCATCATTATCCTGGCCCTGAGGGGAGCATCACATCGAAGTCAGGGAGGTCCCAGTTCATGTTGGGGCAGGGTCAGACCCCGCAGGGCTCTGCCCCCTCCTCGGGGGCTCAGGTGGCACCACACACAGCAGCAGCAGACCATCCTTTGCCATGGGGTGGGCCAAATTTGGGGATGGAAGAGGCGTCGGGGGATACCCCCTCCCTGCAGAGAGGCAAACAGCAGGACAGTGCTCTGCAGCACCTGCTGAGCCTGAACCAGCACTGCTCTGACAGGCATCAAGCCCCCCAGGACCCTTCCCAGCCCGCGTATTCTGAGCATCCCGGGGCTAGAGCTGGGGAGGTGGGCTGGGTACCGGGGCAGCCCGTAGTGCCCAGCTGAGCACTGTCCCGGGGCTGGGGAGGAGGAAGGCAGAGCTCTGGGCCAGGGCAGGCAAGGGAGGGCCCCTGCAAGAGGGACAGGGGCAGCGGTAAGGCAGGGATCTCCTTGCCTCAGTCCCCGGGGTCTGCAGGGGGCCCGGAGAGGGCTGTGGGCAGGTGGAGGGGCTGGCGGGGGGCCGTGCCTGCCCCACGTGAGCCCTGCCTCCCGCTGCTCAGGGCGTTTCACCTTTTACTAAAACAAACACGACACCCCCCCGCCCCCCCGCGACATCCCCGGGGGCGAAGGTTTCCCATGGCAGAGGGACGCCGGCTCCGAGCTGGGGAGCTGGGGCCACCGGCCCCGCGAGGGGCTCTCGGCGTCACGGCACGGAAATGCTCTCCGCTTCCTTTCCTTTTTTTTTTTTTTTTTTTTTTTTCCCAAGCGACACAACCGCGGCCCCATCGCAGGCCAGGGCTCTGACCCGCCCCGGGTGCTGCGGGGGCTGGAGACACCCGGGCCGGGTCCCCGGCAAAGCCGTGGTACAGCCAGCCCCCAGCCCCACGTCAGCCCTCACTCCCCTCCCAGCCCAGGAAGGGCCGGCATCCGGAGCCCTACGGGTTTTCGGGTGGGAATGGTGGAGTCACACGGTACCCACCGTCAGCCTGGAGGGGTGCCTGTGCCCCAGCCCCACAGGACGACCCCCACTTTCCCGCTCTGACCCGGCTGCAGGACAGAAGGGCAGCCCCGGGGCCCGGGGCGGGCTGCGGTGCCAAGGTGGGAGGAGGCGTCCCTGGCACGAGGGACACGTTTCCTGGGATCAGCAGCAGCTCCAGCTCCTGCGCTGGGGCTGGGAGTGTTTCTCCAACTGGCGTGAGCACAGCCCACGTGGGAAGTGGAGGGAGAGGCCTGGAGGGATCCCTGCGCAGTCCATCAGGCTCTGGCACATCCCTCCCCCTGTGCTGGATGCACCAAGCAAGCACTGAGCACCTCACTGCCACACTCCCAGGGGTGGCTGGGCAGGGAGCAGGGGCTCAGTGGCAGCAAGAGGCAGAGATGGGCAGCAAGAGGGCCACGGGCTGCCTGGGGGACAGCCAGCTCCCAGCACACGCAGAGTACCAGCACCACCTCACTGAGTCGTTTCCAGGTGACCGTGTTTATTAATGCTGGGCAGGTACCTCGGGGGTGCAGGTAGACCTAAGAAACCCCTCCCCCCGGGGCCAAGCTCAGCATGGCAGGGTAGGGAGAAAACCCCTTTGGCCAACATTTAAAAATATAGAGAGGTAAAAAAATAGGGATATGAAAGACAAAAGCACAGGGCAGCATGTGGGCAGCTGCTCCAGCCCTTCACCACACTCCCAGACCGGCCCTGCCACGAGCCCTTCACCAGCCTCTCACCCTCCACTTGGCCAAAGCACCTGGCCCCACATGGGCCCCCAAGGCAGCATGGAGGGCACCGGCCATCCCAGCCTTGGATGCTGCCAGGACGGCCACACAGATGCAGCCTCAGGTTTTATTGCAGGGAAAGAGGTAGGAGGAACTGGACAGAACCAGGAGCTTCTCCTGGTACCTGCGCTTGCTCCAGTCCAAGCCCCTGGGCCGCAGGCACGGAGTTACTGCGCTTTGCGGCGTGGGCGGCGCCGGGATGGTGCCCGCCCCCGGGGCTGTGCCTCTCCCTCGGGGCCGGCCCCACTGCCAGGAGCCGTGGCCGGGACATCCTCGGCCGAGATGGGCTGGATGATGTGGCCGGCGCGGGTAACGACGCGAGGGGCTGTCAGCTTCTGGAAGGCACGCTGCGTGTTCCACGTGGTGCCCACGGGCGTCCGTATGCTCTGCTCAAACTGCTGGTGCCGCTCGAAGGGGAAGGGCAGCTCGCTGACCTGCGGGGACAGCACAGGGGTAATGCACCCAGGCCACCTAGCCTGGCCCTACCACTTCATGCTGCCCCCAGTTCCCACTGGTTCCCACTTGTCCAGGACCTGCTCACACCCTGCTTCTGTCCCTGCTGCCATCAGAGCCCAGGAGGGCTGGAGCGGCCATCACCACCACCACCAACGAAGCAGCCTTGTACATCCCTTCTCCTCCATCACCCCACCGGGCTGTTTAAGCAGGAAGCAGGGACTACAGGCAGGAATGGAGGGTGTTTTGGGAAGGGGTCGCTGGAGCTCTAACGGTGACCAGGTGTGACGCACCTGATGTGCCGCCGCGTGGATGTTGCGCTTCTCGCTGATGATGACGTGGGGCTTGTGCTGGTCCTTCCGGGGAGGCCCCGGCGGTGGCTTGAGCAGGAACCTGCAGGCAAACGAGGGGTCAGGGCCAGTGCTGGGCTGGGCATGTCCCTGAGCTCTCCCCCACTCACCTCTTGACCTTCCTGGCGCTGGGCCGGAGCCCGGTGCCGCCCCACTCGCCCCAGCCCGGCAGCACCAGGTTCACCGGCTGCGGCTTTGCCGCCTCCTCAGCCTTGCGCTTCTCCCGGCAGAAGTCGGCGACCACGTCGTCCCCGGCGAAGGCCTCTGTGATCATCCCGCGCTGGTCAATGCCACCCTCCTGCAGAGGGATGAGGCAGAGCGGGTTTAGGGGTTACTGTGGGAACCGGGAGGGACTGGGAAGGGCCTGGGACAAACTGGGGGCCATGGGGAGAGACCTGGAGAGGGTTTGGGAGGTGCTGGGGGCAGTGGTAAGGGGGGAAAAGTTACTGGGCATTGCTGGGTGGGGGGTTGGGGTTACTGTAAGGGGATTTAGGAACACTGGGAGTTACTAGTTTGGGGCTTATGGTTACTGGGAGATGGTTTAAGGTTACTGGTTTGGGGTTACTGTGAGTTACTGAAAGGAGTTTTGGGGCTAGTTTAGGGTTATTGGGAGAGGGTTTGGGGTTATTGGGAGTTAGTGGTTTGGGGTCTAGTGTTACTGGTTTGGGGTTTGGCGTTACTGGTTGGTGTTTTGGGTACTGAGAAGCATGGGAGAGGCCCGTCATGCTCACCTCTTCCTCCAGGACCACAGGTAGGCTGGGGCAGTCCATCTCCTGGGGCTTCCCATCCAGCACAGCCTCCAGGCTGATCATCTTCTTCTTGTCTGTTGTTTTCTTGGCGTGTCTGTCCCCAGCCCTTCTTTCCTCCTGCTGCTGCACTTGCTTCCCTGCTCTCGGGGCCACTGGCTTCTCCTGCTCTTCCACAGGCTCCTCCTTGGCCAGACCCTCCACATCCTCCATGGTCTGCACACGGTGCAGCTGCTCTGAGAGCAGGAGCTGCTCCTGGGCCTGAGGGGGTGGCTCCAGCCCCGTGCTCACTGGCTCCTCGACACAGACCGGGGGGATGGGGGTGTCTCCCGGCCGCTCAGCACTGGTCTCTGTCTCACCAGAATCTACACATTGAGGGGGTAAATGGTCACTCTGAGCAGGGCAGGACAGTAAGGGCAGCTCTGTGAAACCAGCCAAAAACTGCCCCCAAGCCCCCTTCCTTTGCCCAGCCCTGCAGCACTCCCAGCCCACCCTGCTCAGGGTCTCGTGCTCCTCACCGTGCTCCTCACCGCGCCCCTCAGGGCTCCCTGCCCGCTCCTGCCGTGCCTGCCGCTTCTGCTCAAAGTCTTGTAGCAGAGCTTCCTCCTCTGACAGCTCCTCCTCTTCCTCCTCCTCCATCTCCTCCTTGCTCTCTGCAGCAGCAGGCACTGTGCCGTCTCTGGGACTCTCCTGTGCCTCAGGCTCTGTGGCCGGAGCACTGGGCTTGCCCAGCATCCAGGGATTAGCCGTGCTGGCCCCAGTGGGGATGGGCACGGCCACAGGGTCCTCCTCAGGCACATTGCTCGGCTCCTCCTCGGGCGGCTCCACCCGCACCTTCTGCATCAGCTCCTTGTTCCTGGCCAGCTGCTCCTGCATGGCCTTGCGGGCCTGGGAGGCACCAAAAAGCTCTATCAGAGGGCAGAGAACTCATCCCCACCTTCCCTGCCCACCTCAGCTTCTCTCACTTCCCCAGTCAGCACTGGGGACCTTGTCATGGCCTTTCAATGTATAAAGGAGCTTATAAAAGATAGAGAGCCTTTATATCACATTCTGGAGGGACAAGACAAGGGGGAATGGCTCCACATCCACAGAAGGCAGGCATAGATGGGATGCGTACAAATTCTCCCCTGTGAGGGTGGTGAGGCCCTGATACAGGGTGCCCAGAGAGACTGTGGCTGGACATTTCACCTCTGGAAGTGTTCAAGGGCAGGCTGGATAGGGCTTGGAGCAACCTGGGCTATGGAAGGTGTCCCTGCCCATGGCAGGGGGATGGAATGAGATGAGGTCCCTTCCAACCAAACCCTTCTGTGACTCCATGATCTTACCTCCAGGTCATACTTGGCCATAATGGCCCTGGATCGGGCCCACTTTCCCTTGTTCTGGTGTTTAAGGCTCATCCGCTCCTGGGGGGGAAGAGAGAGAAACATCACACAGAGCTCCCCAAGCAGCAGGGCCCTCTTGAGGGATGGGGCCGAGGTACCAAGGCAGCACCTGCATCCTGAGCTGCTCCAGCTCCTCCAGCCGTGCCAAGGCGGCCTCAGGGTCCGATTTGTGCAGCTGCTCAAACTCCTTCAGGGCCTGGCGCCTCCTGCTCTTCTTGAGCACGCGATGGTACCTGTGGCATGAGGGCGGGTGAGGGCTCAGGCTCTGGGGGCAGCTCCAGCCCTCCCCACTGCCCCCAGCCCAGCACAGGCACAGCCTCACTTCTTGCTCTTGATCCTCTTCTCTCGCCGAGCCTTGGCCTCGTAGTAGGACTGCAAAGCCCGGGCCTTCTGCAGCTCTGCCCGCCGCCGTCGGGCCTGAGGGGGAACACGGCGTGAGGGATGGGGGGCACGGGGTGAGAGACCCCAGAGCCAGGGCCTGGCAGGGGGAAGCCCTCACCTCCTCCAAGCTCATGGCCTTCAGCGAGACCATCTCCTCTGGGGTCAGCAGCGGGTCTGTGATGGGCTGCTGTGTCTTGTGGAGCAACGCAAAGATCTCCTGCTCCAGTGGAGTCCGGGCCTGTTGGAACAGAAGACACAGCAGGAGGATAAGGAGAACTGCAAGGGCCAAGGTTTCCCTGGGTGTCCCCACCCCTTTCCGCTACCAATGAGTGGGTCTGTGGGAGGGCCAAGAGAAGTGTGTCCCCTCCTCAGGGGACTGGGGGGGGTCACAGCCCCACTAATGGGTCCCACACTACAGGCCTCGGGCACCCTCCCAGCCACATCAGCAGGTGAGGGCAGGTGCAATTCCTCCCCTGCTAAGAGACATGGCCTCTCAGTCGATGGGGGGCACAGACGAGGAGCACGGAACAGGGGTTCCAGGCCACCCAATGACACATCCCTCCGAAACGGAAAAGGACCTTTGGGCAGAGGAAGGTGAGGCACAGGAATGCTGGGAGCTCAGCAGGGCCTGCCCAGGTGAGCCTGGGCATCCAACAGCTGCCAGCACAACCCCACGGGAACTCACATTCAAAACCAAACACATCTTTCTCTTGTAAGGATGTTTCCAGGCATACAGGATTTGGGAAACCAATCCCCTCTGCCCCAGCACTTTTGGCTGGGGGACACCCCCTGGTGTCTGGCCCAGCTCAGGGATGGAAACACTGCAGGGGCTGAGAGGCTACAAGAAGGACAGGGGACAGAGCAGGCTCCAAACCCTCCCCTGGCTTCTCCCAGATGAAATTTATACATCTGTTATGCGTGAGAAATGCAGACTACCCTTTTAACCTTCCCAGGCTCAGCAGGCACCTGCCCAGTGCCTCAGCCACAGGCTGGGCCTTCCTCACCTCCATCACTCCTCCCAGCACAGCCAGGAGACACCGAGCTGCCCCAGCCGAGCCTGGAGCCACCCCAGTGACACCCTCGGAGCTGCCCCAGCCAAATTCCTAGAGCTGCCCTGGCCAAACCCCTGCTGCTGCCCCCAGCACCCCCAGGGCCATGAGCCCCCCAGCGCCCACCTTCCAGGCCGATGTCACCCTCTCCAGAGGGGTCACCGTGGGGATGTCCTGCCGCAGGGGGAACACCAGCTGCTCCGCGCGCCGGTTCTGCAGGACCACCTGCTGCCACTTCCCCACATCCTTCGAGGTGGTGACGTAGGCAGCCTCCCTCACCACCTGCAGGGGGACAAGAGGGGCAGAGAAAGGCAATGCCAGCGTCAGGGAGGGGCAGGGGGCAGCGGGGTCTCAGCTCAGAGCCCCCACTCCGCTCCCTGCACTCACCCTCTTCGCCTCCTCCTTGCTCAGCGGCAGCTCCACCGCCGCCTTCCGCTTCACCCTGGCCAGCTCCTTCCTCACGCTGCCCAGGGCGGATTTGGGGTGGATGGGCTGCAGCAGCTCCGACAGAACCAGCTTCTCGCCAGCACCTGCACAGAGCTGCCAGGTGAGGGGCTGCAGCTGCCCCAGCGCTGGCCCGGGGTGGGCAGCGCAATCCCTGCCCCCCGAGCCCTGGCCAGAGCCCGGGCCTCACCTTTGCAGGTGACATTGAACTCGGACACCTGCCCGCCCGCCTCGGAGCGCTCCGCCAGCTTCCGCCTGAGAGAGAGGGACAGAAAACAACCCCAAGGGCTCTTCGTGTTGCCCCGGGTGCTCCGGGGGGTCTGCGGCCGTGCCGGCGGACAGGGCCCGAGACCCGCCCCACCTGCTCCTTTTCCCGCGCAGCCTCACGGGCAGCGGGGAGGGACCCCCGACTCACCGTTTGCGTCCGGACAGAGCGCTGATCGCCTCCAGGAGCCGCTGGTGCCGCCGCTCTCCATCCTCCTGCCACGCAGCACACGTGCTCACAGGCCCGGCCCGGCGGAGCTCGGCCGCGGGGACAGCCCCAGCGCCCGCTCCCCACAGCCCCCTGTCAACCCCCGCTGCCCCCGGCCCCGCCCGGCTCGAGGCCCGGCATCCCGGCCAGGCCACGCCACCCTCCGCTGCGCCCGCCCCGGCCGAGGGAGCGCCCGCAGAGCCGCAGGCAGCGGCTGAGGCCGCCGCGGAAGGCCGCCCCGGGCCCGCTCACCCCGTCCTCGCCCTCGCTGCCGCTCTCGGCCGCCACCGCCGCCGCCTCCGCCGCCTCCTGCGGGTCCTGCTGCTCCGCCATGGCCCCCGCACGCCGGCACTGCCGCAAAGCGCCGCCGCGCGTCGCGCCGGGCCCGCGCGCCACGCCGCAAAGCGCGCCCGCGGCACGTCACGGTTGCCATGGCAGCGGGCCCGGCGGGCGGGGCTGGGGGACCGGAGGGGACCGGGGGGGGAACCGGGAGCGGAGAGAGACCCCCGGCCCGGCCGGGACGGGACCCCTCGGGGGCTCCGGGACAGCTCTGACCTCCCCCGGGGAGCCCGCAGATCGCCGGTGCCAGCCGAGGGCTGCGGGGCTCTCCGCTCCATCCGTGACCCCCGTGGGTCCCCCCCAGCCCCAGGGATTGCGGGATTCGCTGTTTTTCCCCCGGGACGTGCCCCAGGGATTCCAGGATTCGCTATTTCCCCGGGGACGTGCCCCAGGGCCGCGGGCTCGGGGACGGGGCTCCCGCACCTGCGGCTCGTCCTGCCCGCCAGGCCCCCACTCCCAGGGGCGTTTTTGGGATTTACGGGATGTGAGGGGTCGCTGGAGCACGTGGACGGAGTTCTCCAGCACGGAGGGGTGTCCGTGTCAGTGCTCAGCCACCGCCGGGGTCACCTGCGCCCGCAGCATCCCCGCTCCTCCTCCTCCTCTTCATCCCGGCTGGGCGCGCAGGGGGGCTCAGGGCAGGGGAGAGGGATAACGAGCTGCTCCCCATCTGCTCCCGTCTCCATAGCAACGACAACAAAAAGTTCCTAATTTTTCCCCTCGGATTTGAGGCTCCGGGGCCCTGCCCCCGCCGGCGGCCCCGCACCCCACAGGGGGAGCACCGTGTGCGGGACACCGGGGTGGGACGCCGGGGTGTTCCCCGCACCGAACCCCAGAGCCCGGGAGGGAGTGCAAAGCCAGAAAACTGGTGTGCGGCCCCGAAGTGTGGGAGGGGCAGGCGGGGAACTCCCCGTGTGCTCCCAGCGGCAGAACTGGGGCTCGGCAGCCCGGTCCTCTCGGTGGCCACCCGGTGCGAGAGAACGGGAAAAGAAAACCGGGAACGGCGGAGCGGCGCCGGTCGGGCCCTGTCGGGGGTGTGGCGGGACCCGGGGCAGGCCGGTAACGCCCCGTGCCAGTCCCAGTCCCGGTCCCGATCCCTGTTCCAGTCCCTATCCCGATCCCTGTCCCGATCCCTGTCCCTGTCCCGATCCCGGTCCGGCCCCACCCGGCCCAGGCCCCGCCCCCGCCACGTGCCGGGCCGCGCCCCCGCCCCACCTCCTCTTGTCCGCACCGGGGCGGGGCCAAGGCGGCGGAGTGACAGCGCACCTGGCCAATGGGCACGCGGGAAGCTCAGAAGAGGGAGGAGTCCCTGCGGAGCGACAGCGCTGAAGGCCAATAGACAGGCGGGGAGGGAGGAGCCGCCATGGAGTGACAGCAAGCGCGGCCAATAGGCCAGCGGGGCGGGGCGCGGGGCGCGGCGGGGCCAATGGCGGCGGCGGCTGCGCCCCCTTTGGGCTGCGGGGCGTGGCGGCCCCTCCCGGCGCGGAGGGAGCGACCGGCCCGGCCCGACCGGCACCGGCACCGGCACCGGGTGAGCGGCGGCGCGGGGCCCCCGCCCCCTCCCGAGCCCTTCCCTTCCGCCCTCTCCCCTGCGCGGGGCGGGCGCTGCCCTGCCCCACTCTGCCCTGCCCGGCCGCGCCCCGTCCCCTCCCGCCGCGGGGGCCGCCCCGCCGCCCCCTCCCGCCCGGCCGAGGGTCTGCCCGCGGACCGCGCCCCTCGCCCCCTCCCCGGTGGGTTCCCGCGGCGACGCCCCTCCCGGGCGCGGGGTTTCCATGGCGACGGCCGCCGCCCCTCGGCCCGGGGCTGCCGCCGCCGCCGCCCCGGCGCTGACCGAGCGCTCTCCCGGTTCCTTCTCCCGCAGCCGCCAGCGCAGCCCCGCGGGGCCCCGATGATGCCGGGGGCGCGGGCGGCGGAGCAGCAGCAGCAGCAGCAGCAGCAGCAGCAGCAGCAGCAGCAGCAGCAGCAGCGCCCGGACGCGCGGCGGCCGCCGCCGCCCCAGTGACGGCCCCGCCATGTCGGTGATGGTGGCGAGGAAGAAGGTGGTTCGGAAATGGGAGAAGCTGCCGGGCAGGAACACCTTCTGCTGCGACGGCCGCATCATGATGGCCCGGCAGAAGGGCATCTTCTACCTGACGCTCTTCCTCATCCTCGGCACCTGCGCCCTCTTCTTCGCCTTCGAGTGAGTTCCCCCGGGGACCCCCGCGGGGCGGGGATGGGGCTGGGGGCCGGTCCGGGGGCCTTGGGAGAGGGAGGGGAGCCTGGCACGGTGCGGCTCTGCCTGCCCAGATCTGCCTCCTGGCCCTCAGCAGGCTGAGCCTGGAGGTTTTGAGGAGGATGGGCCCTACCAGATCTTGCCCCCGGCTCTGCCCATGGGGCAACACTTCCCTGTGTTCAGACCCTGCAGGGTGACGCTGGCCCTGTGTCCCCACGGGTCACCCTTTCCTCTGTCTGTGGCTTGGCAGTCCCGAGTGCTCCTGGCCCCGGGATGGCCAGGGTGCAAGGGCACTGCTGCTGCAGCCCCGGGGTCCAGCCTGTGTCCCTGCCCTTGGGGGGGACGTGCAGCCACCCCTGTCAGCCCCACCAGGGAGGTGACCCTGCTGGAGGATTAATGAGGAGTGAGGTTTATGGCTCCAGGGCTCCTGCCAGTCTGACCTGCCCCCAGTGCTGCACTACAGCAGAGCCCCCACAGCCAGAGCCCCACTCCCATATTTGGGGAGGGTCCAGCCACCCTTTAGATCAGCTCTGCAGCCAAAACCTTGGATCCTGCTGAAGGAGAGGGACCTGCCCCCTCCTTTCTGCAATCCCTGAGAGCTGGGCTGGCCTTAAAGTAATCCTACAATCAAAAAAACAAACAAAAAGGGAAAAGCTTATGTTTGCCCCAACCGATGCTGTGGGAGGGGGCAGGACACCCCTGTTGCCTAATTTGAGGATGAAATTGGATCAGCTAAACAACTGCAAAACTTCCTCAGTCTCCTTGGGCATGTTTGTGTTTCGGGGCAGGAGAAGGACTGAGACAGGATTGGGCAACACAAAAGCTTGTTAATCCAGGAAAAGTGAGCGGAAGGAGCTGCTCCCAGGCTAAACCCTGGCTGTCCCTGCAGATCCATAAAGGCCTCAGCCCAGATGCTGGCCTCCTCAACATTTTCCCCAGGCTAGGGAATTTGTCTCCACACCTCCTGGCCTGGCATGGCTCTCCCTAGTTCCCTGCCCAAATTATCCCTGGCTCAGTGTGAATTCTGAGGTACCAAGTGACATCACTCTTGGTTTGTTGTTTGGGTCTTTTTTTCCATCTGAAAAGTGGGGCTCAGCCTTCCTGCCTTGCAGGAAGAACTAATAAGTGTTGCTGCTCCAGAAATGCTTTTTGCTGCTCCAGAAACACTGATTTGAGGGATAATTGCTCTGGCTCCCTGTGGATCCTGCCCGTAGCAGGAGAGTGAACCACATCTCTGCTGTGGTTGCCTTCAGCAGCTGCACCAGGCAGAGTGAGCTAAGGCTGTGTTCCATCCCTAGGCCGTGGTTAGCCTGGAATGTGACTGGAAATTCCTTGAGAAGCCCCTTTCCATGCTCTGGGAAGCAGAGGCCTATGGAGGGGTTGCTTGCACCGAGACATCCAGACTGTGCCTAGAGCCAGAGGGTAGGCTGTGTGTGGGGAGTGCTGCTGGGAGCAGGATCACCTCTGAATTTTATAGTCAATCATCTGGGGAAAAGTTTGGGAAAACACCACGTACCCATTTGATTCAGTGCATGACACCTCAGTGTTTTCTGTTTGGTAAAGAGGGAGTTGTTTTGAACTTGTTCGGGGATTTTTGTATTTGCGAGAGGGATGATATTTTGCCTTCCCATCCGGAAAGACTCCCCAGGGTCTCTTTTGCACCGACCAACCCGACATGAGCAGCTGGGCTCCCTGCCTGCCCTGTGCACCTTCCACGCCCCTTAGGGAGCTTTGGGTGAGGGTCTCAGCCTTGAGCTTTCACCGTGCTGTGCATTTGTCTCAGCTTTTGGCAGGTTCTTTTGCGTTTGCATGGAAATTCCTGGTTTCCCCCCTTAAAGCTCGTGCTCCAGAGGAGCGATCCGGGCGTTAGGGTCTGGATTCGGAGCGTGGCAGTCGGTGGTGGGCGGAGGAGCCCTTCCCCTCCCTGCCCGCTCACTGCAGGGCTGCCCTGGTGGTGCCGTGGTGCCTTTTCCATTCAGCTGAATCACTTGCGCAGTCACACCTTGTCTGAACGCGGCTCCGTTTGTGCCTGGAGCCAGGATCTGTCTGGCTGCTCGCCCTGCGCCGGGCCGGGCTTGATCCCGGCGCTCCGCCCGTGCTGGCTCCGGTTACAGCCGGGGCTGGTGGGGACTGGCACCCACATCAGGGGAAAAACCACCTCCGTCCCTGGCTGGCAGGGTCCTCCCCAGCCCTGGAATGACAGCCGTGCTGTTTGTGCTGCTGCTTCTGGGGGTGTTTTTTTTCCTCCGAGTATCTCCGGTGCCATGCGGCTGCCCCGCGGTGTCCGCAGGCGAGCGGGCTGAGCCTCCTCCGCCCTGTGGATGGGAATTTCCGTGCTTCGATCCCCCCATCCGCAGCGCTGTGGTCTGGGATCGCCCAAGTCTCTCCATCCGGGAGCGAACAGGACCCAGGGGCGGGCAGAGCTCAGTGCTGTACCTGAGATCCGGCTCCTCCCTCCTGGATAAGGCAGAGGGACGGAGCTGTGCTGGCTCTGGCTCCCGGGAAGGGCTCTGCAGCCACCAGAGTCCTCTGCCCAAGGGCACCTCTCTCGCCACCACTTCGTCAGGGAGCAGCTCCCGCTGCTCAGGACTGGTCCCTGCAGGGCCCGAGACCTTTGTTTAACTAGGTCTGCTCTTTAACGTGTCCCATAAAATTCAGTTCCACATCCTCTGGGCGTTATTTCAGACTGGTAATGTCAGCCCTGTGTCTGGACACTTAGCTGGTAACTCTGCCTGTGGTGTTCCAGCATGAGGAGAAGCCCAGGTAAAGCGCTTGTGAAATCCCTTTGGGAACAAGGATGATGGGATGCAGCGTCCTCTCTCAGGCTGGGAGTTCCCACTGCAGTTTGCCAGCCTGTCTCATGGCCTGAAGTGAGTTCCTCACACACCTGAAGGGAATGGGATTTCTTTTGCCTCCAGCTTTTCAGCAGAGAACTTGGTATCTGTAAATGTCAGGGGCTTTTCCAGTGCTCGGGTATATTTGTCACTTTGTTTTTCCTACTTTCTTAGCTTTGTAGAGATGAAAATGTGTTTGTCTTCTGATGGGTTGAAAACACCTACGCTGCTCCTCATGTGACTTTATTTTTTAGTTTTGATTTCCAAACCCCAGAGACCCAAGACTGACGGAGGAGCCTCTGAGATGTTGTTACCTCTAGATAGATCTCTGACAAGTGTGGTCAAAACTTACACATGAGTTGATAGGTGCTTTTTAATGACTGTGATTTCTTTTGATAGAGGTGAGCTTGTTGGTGCTCAGAGTTCAGCTTGTTTCACTCCTGTTTGTATGTGCAGTGGCTGCTCCTGGGGTTTGAATTGACCCTTTTCTCATGTGTGAGTTCCTTCTCAGGAGGTGACTTCAACCCCCCTGCATGTCCTCTGTGGCACCCTCATTCCTGTGTGGACCTTGAGGTGGTCTGCCTGTGTGCAAATTTGATTTTTAGCCAGGAAAAGAGCAGTAGCATCAGTGTAACGTGTCTGTGTCCTGCCCAGCCGGGTCAGAAGCAACTCTGTGTGCTGGCAGTTGGTGTGGGTCTGTAGTGAGGGTTTCTGTATCACCGCTGGCAGATGGGGAGAGGTTCCAGGGAGAGCTCCAGCTCTGCCTGGTGCTGCTGGGAAGGGCCTGGACACAGCTTTGTGGTTGTGGCACTTAACCAGGCTTTGGAGCAGCCTCCTGCGCACTTACCACAGGCACAGCGGCTCCTGGACACCATCCCAGAGCTGGGAGGTGCAGATGGCTGAAGTGCCCTGGTGAGGGTCAGGCGTTTGGGAAAGATACAGCTCTGCTGGCACTCACAGCGTGTTTGTGCCGTAGTTTAGGAAAGTTAAACAGGTTGGTTTGCAGGTGAGATGTGAGTGACTGGTATCACGAAGCTTGTGCTGAGCCCAGCTGGGGCCTGTGCAGAAGATGCAGTGCCCCGTGGCTGTGGCTGCAGTGTCTGTCACCCGGGCACGGTGGCTTTCCCCTTCCTTCAGAGCTTTGCTCAATGTGCTGGTTACAACAGACCTTCTCAAGCGGGCACAAAATAACTGGCCAAGCCCTGCAACTAGTGGCACCTCCCAGCTGCTTCTCCCCCCACCCCCCCACTCCAATGATCTCTTTGTTGAGCCTTCCTGCCCCCAGCCCACCCCCCTCCCCCCGTGACGGTGGATTGTGATAGTGGTGTTATTGTCTGCCTGTCGGTGACAAAACGCTCCAGAGCACAGATATGGTGCTGGGAGTGGGGGAGCAGCATCCTCACAGGCCAACAGAGCATCTCTGTTGGCTCTGAGCTCTCCCAAACAAAACATCTTTAAAATGTCTGTCACTGAGCAGTGAAATCATGCTGGAGATGAGGCGTAGACTGAAGATACCCCAATGCTGGTGAGTACCTGAGTACCAAGTCAAGACCTTTTTGTGGTTGCTGTCCCTGCTGTGGACGTGTTCCCTGAATGTCACCTCCCGAAGAGTGAGGCCCCATCAGTGCAGTGGAGGACAGGAGGCACATGGGGGATCCATGCTGGGCTCCACGCTGGGCCTTGGGATGCAGTTTCTGTGTGGTGGGAGCTCCTCTGGCTCTCACACCTCTGCCCTCAGCTGTGAGGGGCCACAGAAGCCAGCCCAGTTAAGGGAAGTTAAGCTAATCCCATGTGGAAGCAGGAGGGCTGTGGCTCAGCTTTAATACAGTTCATGGATCCATATTTAAACCCACAATATGTTCACGTTGTCACTGCAGTTCCAAAAGCTGTTGTGTCAGCTGAACAAGGGTCAGGCTGTAGCCCTTTGGGGCAGACAGTGTCCAGATTTTCAAGGAATAATCACAGAATCACTGAATCATTTAGGTTTGAAGAGACCTCCACGATGGTCTAGTCCAACCTTTGACCAATCCCATCCTTGTCAGCCAGCCCAGAGCACTGAGTGCCATGTCCAGTCGTTTCTTGAACACCTCCAGGGATGGTGACTCCACCACCTTCATGGGCAGCCCCTTCCATGTTCTGACCACTTTTTCCAGGAAGAAATTCTTCCTCATGTCCAACCTGAGCCTCCCCTGGCCCAGCTTGAGGCTGTGTTCTCTCGTCCTGTCACTTGTTACCTGGGAGAAGAGGCTGACCCACACCTAAACCCATATTACATATTCCTAAACCCATATTACTACCCCAAATGGGCTCCGGGGTTTCTGTTTACTTGCTGACTGACTTGCAGCTCTCCCTGGACTTTGCCCTTGCAAAAGGAACGCGAAGTTATCTTGGGCTGCCTGAGGACGATAAGCTTGGCCCTCTGGCTCTTTGGCTGTGGGCAGGGCTCAGCACGGGAACGTTGTTTTGGGGAACTGCGGAGTGTGCAGTGCCTGAAATTAAGGATGTTGGTGTAAGGGGCAGGCCCAGTGCATCACTGTGGGTGCTTGGTGTGGCCAAGCATGCTGTAGGTCCAGCGTGCAGCCCTTCTGTCCTTGTCACACGCACTGTGTTTGGGGAAGCTGTGGTGGGAATGCTGTCCGGAATTAAGTAGTCAGTGCTGTGGAGCTGGAGGAGATGGCCTTGCTTGGGATGGCAGCCCCCCTGGGGAGCGTAACCCCTGTCCTCTCATTGCAGTAGCCTGATGCTCTCTTGGAGAGTAACTGTGGAACAGAAGGAATATGGGTTGATCCACCCCTCACCCTTAGGGTGAGGGGTGGATCAACCCATATTCCTTCTGTTCCCTGAGGGGTGGGTCTAGGAAAGCCAGGTGCCTGAAAGCCTGGGTGCTCAGCTGCATCAGGAGGCACCCAGGGAAGCAACATGTGAGAGGAGAGGCGAGACCATGGCACGAGTGGTGGGAATGGGGCGGGTTTTCCTTTAAACCGTAGGAAAGCTCCCTAGGAATTTCGCCCCAACATCAGTGGGGTTTTCTGAAGGAATTAGGGTAAAAATGTGTTTTCTTTCAGCCCAGTATGTCTCTAAACCGTGACTTCTGCCCAGGCCTGTGCTGTGGTGCTCATGGGAACGTGGATGGGAGTATGTGGGAGCAGCACAACTGTGATGAGATGAGTCCCATACTCCCTTTGCACTTCCTCCATCAGCAGGGTCAGAACCATAAACTCCTTGTCGAGTCTTGCTGCATTTATAGAGCAAACAAACCTTGTGCTGTGTTCCCTCTCAGGCTTGGGAAGTCTTGGAGCAGGAGCCTTTCTGCTTTATTTGGAGCTTTTCAGTCCCTTGCCTCAGAAAAGCCAAAGGAAGACAGACATTGCATGGGAATGTTGCACTTCCACAGGAAACCATTCCTGAGAAGCAGAGGGTGCAGTAAATTCCAGTAATTTCTGTGGTGCTGGAAGCTGCCCTTTAGGGGCCAGCCAGAGATTCCCATCATCCCCATGTGCTTCCATGCCTTCTGGCTCTCTCTGGTGGTGGGTCCTCAACCACGCCTTGGGTGCTTCTCCCAGAGGTCCAGCCCATCCCTTGGCAGCAGGGGTCTAATGGGCATGGTCCCTCCAGCTGCCTGGTCACGTTTTGCCCGAAACTGGAGCTGAAAACAGAGCAAACTCTGGGAAGTGCCTGAATCTGTGCCTGGCTGGTGGAGAACACAGCAGTGCTGTGATGGTGCCCTGGTCGCTGGAGCTGCCCCGGGAGCGTTCCCCTGTGGTGGTGGGATCAGAAGGACGTGCTGAACAGCTTCTCTGCTCTAGGTCTTACCAGTGCTCAGGAGCGCCAGGGCTTTGGTGCCGTGCCAGGTGCTCAGCCCGCTGCCGGCAGACTCCAGCCTCGCTCTGACTCATCTCCTCCCGCCCCGTGTCCGCAGGTGCCGGTACCTGGCTGTCCAGCTGTCCCCGGCCATCCCCGTGTTCGCAGCAGTTCTCTTCCTGTTTGCCATGGCCACGCTGCTGCGGACGAGCTTCAGCGACCCCGGGGTGATCCCGCGGGCCCTGCCTGATGAGGCAGCCTTCATTGAGATGGAGATTGGTGAGTGTGGGGTGGCCAACCTGGGGAGGGAGGGAAAAGCCTCTGTATTTCTGGCATATTTTTAGGCTACAGTCCCTGCAGAGCCTTTCTTCCTGGCTGGACCTCCAAAAGTGAGGAGTGCCCCGATCTGCTGGCTCACTGTGCTTGGCCAAGTCTCAAAAAGAGAGCATGATGTACCTGCGTCTCTCTGGGAACCCTTTCACCTGCTGCTTTCTCTCCTGTAGTCGTGTACATACAAACTCAGTTTGCATTTGGGAAGGGGTGCAGGAAGCTTGGTGTGATCCCCTTGATCCCTTAGGGAGAGAGGAGTTTTGATGGATGCAGGTGACAACCCCTAGCCTCCTCTCAACGTGCCCATGAAAGCTCTGGCATCCCTTTTCTTGCCTCCAAGCTGCCAGGTTGGCTCTGGCCTGCAGGAGCAGAGCTGCAGCCGCCGGCTCTGGAGCCAACGGGCTCTGGTCCCGCCGGTAGGAAAGGCGGGGAAACGAGTTGTGGTTCTGGGCCTGTCGTGTTGTAGCAGCAGGTCCGATCTGTGCCCTGCTCTCTCTGGCAGAGGCCACCAACGGGACCGTGCCGCAGGGCCAGCGCCCGCCCCCGCGCATCAAGAACTTCCAGATCAACAACCAGATCGTGAAGCTCAAGTACTGCTACACGTGTAAGATCTTCCGCCCGCCCCGCGCCTCGCACTGCAGCATCTGCGACAACTGCGTGGGTGAGTGCAGGGCTGGGCCTGCTGCGGCCCTCAGCTCCTGGGGGAACCTTGGAGAAGGAGGGAGACCTGTGCCTCGTGCTGGGCAGGTCTGGAGTGCCTGGTGTGTCCACACAGGGGCAGGCTGCCTTGTCTTACGCTGAAAGGAGCTTGATGTTTGCTCAGAACCTGGAGCCACGTGGTTACTCTTTGCCAGGACTTTGGCAGTAACTAGTCTAACCAAGTCTAACTTCTCTATGTACTTGTGCAGCCTGTTTTTCAGTTCCACTGGACTCTGGCCTTGCTAGAGGGTTCCAGTGGAGAGTTGTGTCTTGAATGACAACAACTCCTTCATCAACATGGGGATTGTGCAATCCTTTGGGGTGCCCTGGTTGTTGTCTTCCTGTGTATATAATTGGCTCATGTTCAGCATTGCTGCTCCAGGTAGAAATCCCTTTCCCCCTCTTCAGATTCCCAACCATTCTGTGTTTATGCAGTTCCGTGAAAAATCCAGCTCTCCTGATTATTCTAGTAGGTATATAGTGGGTTGGGTAACAACCTGGGGACTCCAGGCCTTCATCTAACCCATGTGCTGTGGCTGTTGTACCCCAGGGAGAGAAGACAGACCAGGGGGCAAGTTCAAACTCTCTCTTAACATGCAAAATAACTCATTATGAAACGATTTTGGACTTTCTGACCTGGCCTCCCCTCCTGGAAGGGGGCTGGCATGTGGAGTTGTGAGTTGGAGGGTGCTGATCTCTGTCTTGGCTTCCCCAGAGCGCTTCGACCATCACTGTCCCTGGGTGGGCAACTGTGTGGGGAAGAGGAACTACCGCTACTTCTACCTCTTCATCCTCTCGCTCTCCCTCCTCACCATCTACATCTTCACCTTCAACATTGTCTACGTAGCACTGAGTGAGTCTGGCCGGAGGACTGGGAAGGAGGGAGGGAGTAAGGGTACGGATAGCGGTGGGAAACCAGAGTGATGGAGTGGGAAAGGGAACTGAATTCGATGGGATGTTCCAGAGTAGAAAATATCTCTTGCTTTTTGTATTGCAGAATCTCTGAAGATTGGGTTTCTGAACACGTTGAAGGAAACCCCAGGGACATATCCTTCCATGGTGCCAAAGGCTTGGCTTCTCCAAAGCTGGGGGTTAGTGGGAGCTGCATTATGGACAAGCTGCCAGGCCTCTCTAACAACTATCTCTGACAAGATGGGGAGCAGTCTTGTGGCTTTTGGGAGGAGAGTAAAACAGAAAACCATGGTTAGGAGAGGAAGAGAAGTTGGTGTGCCTGGGGGTTGTGACAGCTGGGCTGGGCCCGCTCCCCGGCTGTTCCCAGTCCTTAACTGTTCTCACTGTACTGGAGGTGCTCATCTGTTTCTTCACGCTGTGGTCAGTGGTGGGGTTAACTGGGTTCCACACCTTCCTGGTGGCACTGAATCAGACAACCAACGAAGACGTAAGTAGACTCTTCCTCTTCCTCTGAGCCATCGCCGTTTCTCGGCATGTCACAGCTGTGCCCACTCTGCAGGCCAAGGCAGGGCTCTTCGGGGGGGGTTTCCCTAGAGCAGACCTGACCTTGTGCCTGACTGTTTCAGATTAAGGGGTCCTGGACTGGGAAGAACCGCGTGCAGAATCCCTACAGCCACGGCAACATAGTGAAGAACTGCTGTGAGGTGCTTTGCGGGCCCCTGCCTCCCAGGTAAGCTGTTGAGAGGCAGCCCTGACCTTTGCCTTCCACCAGCACTTCTCCTGCTGGGAAAAGAGATGGGATTTGGGAAGGCATGTGTCTCTGACGGCGTGGCTCTGTTCTTGCAGTGTCCTGGACAGACGGGGCATCCTGCAGCAGGAGGAGAGCACAGCTCAGGAGGGGCCGTGCCCACGGGGGCCTGGCACGCAGGAGCCCCTGGCCATGCAGGGCCCCCGCCAGGCTGAGGAGAGCAGCACGAAGCAGCAGGATGGCAGCATTCCTCTCTCCAGTGCTGTGAGTAATCCCTTAGGGAGCTGGGGGGGCTCTTGGACAATGAGGGAAGGCTGAGAGTGACGTAGAACAACAAGAGGGGGGGGCCATGCTGAGAGGCTGCCAGTGAAAAGCCCATTTGCTCTGACGCTGGAAATCAGGGTGTCTTGGTTTCCTTGGGTTTCCTCAAAGGAGATCACAGCTGGCTGTGGTTGTGGAGATCAGTCCTGCCATGAGAGCACTCAGGAGCTGTCACCCATGGAGCTCGGAGGGGCTGGGGAAGGGTGGGATGTTGCAGGCATCTTGTTCTGGTGCTGTGTGTGAGCTGGGAAGGGTCTCCCAGGGAAGGGCCCTCATGGGTGTGGGATCTCTGTCTTTGGAGGAAGCTGTTTTGGCCCCGAGCAGCCTGCTCTGTGTTTGAAATTAGCCCTGCTTTAAGGACACAGTTGGACAGGAGACCTCCAGAGTGCCCTTCCCACCTAAATTATTCCATGAACATGGTGGGAAATGGCTGGGCCTGCTCCTGCTTGGGCATGATCTACTGCTTCTCTGGTGGACACAGTCCAGACCCCTTTGGCTGGAGCAGTCCAGTGCTCCAGCTCTTCCCAAAGCTTTTGTTGTTTTTGTTGGGGGGCCCCTGGTTTCTCCTTTTCCCAAGCCCAGCCAAGACCGCTGCTGGTGGAGCAGGAGGCAGGAGCAGAGCTGTGGGGCTTGTGTGCTCAGACAGGTGCTCTGTACTGTGGTGTGTTCCTGCAGGTCACTCTGTCCTCTCTCCTCAGGTCCCTGCGCCGCCCCTGAGTGACGCCGAAATGCCGGAGGAGAAGCTGCGAACGCCTGGGGAGGTCCCGGTGCCCTCCCTGGACGCTGGGCGAGCGGAGCACTAGCGTCTGCTTGGAAGGGAGAACTTTCTTGTTTTGTCTAATCAAAGCTGGAAGTGATGGAGGAGAGGAGGAGAAGGGCTGGATGGCAGGCACCCGATTCCCCATGGCCATTTTGCTTTAGTCATTACCACGGTGTGAGCCGGCGGTGGCACGGGACAGCGAGTGTGGGTGGCACGCCCTGGTCACCACGGGGCACTGCCACTACCGAGGCAGCTCTGCCTGCGGCCAGGGCTGGGCCTCTGGCTCTGCAGACTGTCCTGGATGCTCCATCCCGGCTTGTGGCCGGGGCTGTCCCTCTGCCTGGGGGGGCAACTCGTGGTCCAGCAGTTCAGCAGTTAGGGCCGGTCTGCTCCTTCCTGCTGAGGAATCCCCATGGGAAGGGGAAATCAATCATGGCAGTAGCGTCCTCTCTCCCCTCCTCCCTCCTTCCTCTAATCCGTGACGTTGTTTTGTGGTTGGCGTGGCAAGGCTTGTCAGGAGACATTTTGGTGCCCAGAGGACCCAAACAAGCGGGAAGGAGTTCTGTTGGCAGCGGTTTTTAAGTAGCTTTCTTCCTGTGCTCCTTTTCGTGTGGTGTAGCCGGGGCAGCAGCTGTAACGGGGACCCTCCTCACCCTGCCCTGGGGCTCACAGCGACCCTGGGGGCTTGAGGGAAGGAGCGGGCAGCCCCCCCAACCCACACCAGCCACAGAGCGGTTGTGCCAGGGTGTACAGAGCTGCAGGGAAGGGTCTGCCTGTGCCACCGGCTCCCTGGCTGGTGCTGGGCCTGTGTTTGCTGCTGGGTGTCCGCACTGAGCCCTCCTCTTGCTGTGGCACGACCGCTCTGCAGAACCTCAGCCCCGATTCTGTGTTGTGTCATTGCGTTCCCGTGTCCCCCCTTTGCCTTGCTCTGCAGTCCTCAGCCACCCCAGACTGGCTGTGGGAGCTGTGCTGGCTGCCCGAGGATGGGCTGTGTGGTGTCAGTCACTCAGCAGAGTGGGGAGGAGAGGCTGAGGGGGTGGTGGGAGAGCTCCATGCCGTGGCAAGGCTCCTCCTCCCCTGCCCCACTCCCTGTCCTGCGCTGGCAGAACTCTCACGCCTGCGGGGTCCCCACAGAGGCCAGCGGTGGGGAGAGGCCATTCGGTGCCCTGGCAGCTCCCCATCCCACACCGTGAGTGCAGGGCACTCCCGTGCCTCCTGCAAGCGTGCGGTGGGTGGTGGCGGGGCGGGGTGTCCCGCCTGGCCAGTGCTGGGTGTGTCTCCGCGATGCTCCTGCCTGGCAGCGGGAAGTCGGTGTTGCTCCGCCCCTGGCCGCATGCCATCCTGCTTTCAGCAGCCGTGCGGAGCTCCCCCCGGAGCCTGGCCTGCGCCTCCCACCTCGCTCCTCCTCCCTGGCCCCTCGCAGCGTGGCCCCGGGCCGTGGCTGGCAGCGGGGAGCGGTGGTGTTGGCACGGTGTGAACGAGGCACCGGCGCTGCCCCGTCTCCTGCGGTGCCGCGGTCTCCTCTCCCGGTGAGAGGGCAGAGCTGCTGCTCTGGCTGTGGCCGTGTGTCCGCAGTGACCCCGCAGCTGCTCCCGGCCTCCCTGCCACGGCCCTGCAGCCAGCCCGGTCCCGTCTCGTCCCCCCAGGACAGGGGTCCTGCTCCTGGCCCCGAGCACCCCGCCGGCCGTGGGAGCCGCCCCAACATGCTACTGACCAAATCTCAGATTCGGTGTGGAAAAGTGTATTTTTTGGCTCTGCTGCTCCCCGTTCCATGCAGTGTGTGGGGTGCTGCCTGCCTGGACTGCCTACCAGTGGGGCCTGCCTGTGCTGGTTGGTTGGGGTCTCCAGAAGGAAGGGGGGGTCGGGTGAGGGTTCTTTTTTTTTTTTTTTTTTAATTATTATTATTTTTTAATTTTAAAACAATGAAGGAAAATTAATTGGTTTGAAAATGGCTGAGCTGTAGCCCTGTGTGTCTGTGCTGCCCCAAGCCAGCTGCCTCTTCCCCCTTCCCTGTACCTTTCCAGCCTCTCCATCTCACACTTCCAGAGTGTCTTAGCTGCATTATTTGCATCCTGCTTCCCCCCTGGCGAGTTGAGGGGGTGTCTCTGTGTGCCCATGCTGAGCAGTGACAGTGAAGGCTTTGTTTGCCTGCAGGCATGGCTTCTGTCCCCAGCTCCCTTGAGAGCAGCCCATGCCTGGAGCGCGGTGCCCTGGGGTGCCCAGAGCCCCCACGTTGGGGCAGCAGTGCCAGGCAGCACCATGCAAAATGTCCTGGGGGTACAGCACCTGCCTGTGGTGCTGGGGCCGAGCTGGGCCCTGAGGTCACACCACTGGGGCTCCCCTGTCCCCTGCCAGCAGCTGTCCCCTCCAGTCTGTCCCCGCTGCCAGGGCCAGAGTGGGAAGCAGCAGTGCCAGTGGGCTCAGGGGGACTGTGCCATGGAGAGAGCCCCCAGCTGCTCCTCAGGACCCCCCAGCTCAGCCTCCTCCCGGCTGCCATCCAGGGTTTCTGATCCCTCGAAGCAGCCTGAGTCCCGGGGAATGTCCCCTTTGGGCTCCGAGGGTGATGGCAGGGTTTCAGAGCTGTCACCGTCCTCCGGCTCACTGGCTGCTGGGAGAGGGACCGAGGCATTAGTGGTGCTGCTGGGGTGCCCAGCGAGGGGGGCTGTGGGTGGTGGGGGGGGTCTCCCACTCCCTCCCTGGGGCTCTTACTGTCGTAGTCCAGGAGGAGCTCGGCGGCCGTCAGCAGCTTGGCGCGGTGCTGGGGGTCTGTGATGTGCAGCTCATTCAGGTGGGTCTCCTTCAGCTCCTTGAAGTCCTCCAGGGTCTGGTACCCGTTCAGCAGGAGGGTGGGGATGTGTTCCTGGGTGGGGGACGGTGGGCAGGGATGAGCAGGGCTCAGGTGGCTCCCCTGGCCCCCCGTGCGGGTCCATGGTAGGCGCTTGCCCCCACATCACCCAGAAATGCCCTGTGTGTCCCCTCTGTGCCCCTGGGGTACTCAGTGGAGGGGCCCAAGGGGATGGGGGATAGTGAAGGGGAGCAGAGGGAGAGGTTCCGCTGCTGGCACCCTGCTGGCACATTCTGGGTGCCACGATTCCCCCATGGCCCCTGTCCCTCACCTGCAGGTTGATGCGCTCCAGCAGCTCATGGAGGGTCTTGGGCTTGAGGCGCTTGCTCCGGCTGGAGCCCCGGCTCCTGCGGGCAGGGACTGTCTCCTCAGGGATCACATCCACGTAGATGAACTTGAAGGAACCCACCCTGTTGTTGAGCAGTCCGGTCCAGGTGCCCACAGGTGGCTTCTCGATGATGCCGATGATGTCCCCTTTCTGGGCCAAAGGAGATGCGGTGGCAGTGGGTGCAGGCTTGGGGACAGCTGGGGGACACCTCTGCCTCAGGGGGATCCCCAGCCACCCTCCCTCCCTCCCTGGGGCTGTGGCTCACCCGCAGCTTCAGCGAGTCCTTGTCGTAGGGGCTGGGGGTGAAGTCGGTGTGGACGCGGGCCCGGCCGCAGAAGGGGCCAGTGTAGGCTGGGACACTCTCCTCCAGCCGCAGGCTGTCCCGGGGGCCACCGGGGCTGGGAATGTCGCTGCCTGCAGAGAGGAGGGGGTCAGGATGTGCTCTGCTGGGGGCTCAGACCGGTGTGCTGCTGGGGCTGGGCTCACCGCTGGACATTTGGCGGCTGAGGGGTGGGCGCCCATCCTCCTCCTCCTCCTCCAGCTCCAGGGACGACAGGGGCCCCTTGTCATGGCTCCACTCCTCCGCACTGCCGGCTGGGGACAGTGGGCACGGGGACCCCTCCTCCTCCACCTCTCCCTGCTGTGGGGACCAGGGTCAGGCTGGGGGAGAGGAAGCTGCCCATGTCCCCCATGTCCCTTGCTCACCTTCCCCTCGGCCAGCGCCTTCACGGCCATCCTGCCCATCTTGCGGTTCATGGTGCGGGAGATGACCGCCCGCCACTTCCTGCCCAGCTTCGTCCCACTGCTCCGTGGGGCATCCTCAGGGCTGGCACTGCTGGGATCATTCTCAGGGATCTGCCAGAGGGATGGACAGTGAAGGCAGAGCCCCGCGCCACAGGCAAGCCTCAGTGGGGTCACACAAGGCTGTGAAACCCCAAATCCCACCGGTGCTGGGACACGGGCTGCTCCATGGCATGTGGGCCCCTGGTAGGACCAGGAGTTTAGGGAAACCAGCCCTGAAATAGGCTGGGAAGGGGATCCCAGGGGAGCAGGGCATGTCAAGGGTACTGCTGCCCTGGGGAGGCAGGGAACTCACGTTCTCCTCCAGGTTGAACTCCTTCTCGCTCGGCACAGGGGAGCTGACCTTGGACTTGGCAAAGTCCTTGAAGCTGCTGGAGCGCTGGAGGGAAAGCTGGGGGCAGGGGGAGGGGTGTGAGGGTGGAGATGGAAAGGTGTGAGGCCTTCTCTCTGCACCCCTTGCCCCAGCTCCCTTCTCCCTTTGGGCTGCTCTGCCCATCCCAGGGCAATGCCAGTGCTGGTAGAGTTTTTGGCTGGCACAGTCTCGCCTGTCTCACCCCACTCCAGAAGCTGCCATGTGCTATGAGCCCACCAAACCAGGGATGCAGAGCCCTGATATTGCTTGTGCAGCTGCTTGGCACAGCATTCCTGGGGCAGGGATGCTCTGGTGTGGAGTCTGGCGCTGCCAAGCTGGGAGTAGCCCAGGGCTTTGCCACGCTGCTGTCCTGGCACATGAGCCAGGCGTGTCTTGGGGGAACACAGGACTCTACAGCACCCACAGGTGGGCAGGCAGCGAAGGGCTGGGAACACGAGAGCAGCCATGTCCCTGCTTCTGCCTCCATGGTCAACTCCAGGACTGAAAGTTTCCCGTGTTTTCTGACTGTGAGTGTCCCCCACAGCCCAGAGAGCACCCTCAGCTGGCTCAGTGCCATCTTCACACCAAAGCCATCGAGGCAGGTTCTGAATCTCAGTCCTGCTGCACCCCTCTGCCCCTGCTCCTTCCAAGTCTTCCCTGTGACCCCTGCCTGCCTCCATCTCCATGTCCTCTGGTGTCTGTCCCGTATGGGAAGGGTTTCTTCATGACAGGAGCGCCCTTGGTGCCAGCCAGCCAGCATCCCAGCACAGCCACACGGTCCCGGGTCTCCCTCATCCCTGGATGCCAGAACTCCGTGGGAGCTGGCTCGGGTCTCCCTCATCCCTGGATGCCAGCACTCCGTGGGAGCCGGCTCGCGGGTTTGGGCCAGGTGAGCTCGGCTCCCACTGCCGGCACGCTCAGAGCAGGCACCGCAGCGCTCGCTCTGCCGCCGCCACAAACAGCGATTTCCGTTCTCAAGCGGCTCTGCCGGCTCCGAGCTCCTTCCCAGGCCCTTCCTACCCCTGCTCAGCCTGTCCCGCCTTTATTCTCCTCCTCCTCGGCTCCACCGAGCATCTTTCAGCATTTGTTTTTGCCGTTCCTCGCAGAGGGCTGGCTCGGAATGGGACCCCTCGCGGGGCTTTACAGGGCAGGGCCAGCTCCAGGTGATCTCTGATCCCGCCCCACCACCCTGAACCCACCAGACCCAGGAGCGTTGAACCCCCCGGGGCTCTCCCTGCAGAGATAAAACAGCTCCGCAGCCAGGAAAGCCCCTGCCCCGGGGCTGGAGAAGCCCTGGAGAGCCTGGCAGTGGGATTTGAGCCGGGGAGTCGGGCTCTCCCGGAGCACTGCAGCGAGAGGGAAGTGAGAGTGGCTGTGGCTGGGCAAGGGCAGGGGATGCCCACTGGGACCTGCCGGGCTGGATGGGCCATCCCAGTGCAGCGAGGGGGACTTCACCCAGGTTTCCAGTGAGAGCTTCCCAGCACAGATGAGCTGCCACGGTGGGATGTGTGCCTGCTGTGGGCAGGGCCCTGGCACCAGGCACTGCCCTGCTTCCCATGGTGACTTGCCCTTGCTGATGCCAGCCCAGCAGGGCTTGGCAAGGGCTGAAGTGCCAGCTGGTGTGAGACCTGGTGCAGGGGGATGGTTGTGGCCCCCACTGGTGACTCCAGCCTCCAGACAGGTTGCCACGGGGTGGCACACGGCCATGCCACGCTGGGGGCTCTCAAGAGGCCGCGGTGCTGGCAGCTGGTGCTGCTGTGGCTCCCACCTCAGAGCGGTGCTGCCAGAGGAAGCGGCCGACACGTGACAGAGCTGCAGCCTCGACCGCAGCACCTTGCCGTGCTGGGAGCTGCACACTCGGCACCGCAGCCGCGTCCCCCCAGGAAATGGCAGGCGGCCGCCCACGCCGTGGGGAGCCCGTGGAGAGTGGGGGCCACAGCCTCCCCCAGGCCCCACGGGTCCCGCCCGCACCCCGGCTGGCACTCATGCTGATCCCGGGGACTGTGCATCCCAGCCACCCATCCCACCAGGATGCACGCCAGGGCGGGAGCTGGGCAATGCCAGGACTAGGCACTGGCCGAGGCCACAGTGGCTGGTGGCAGCAGGGACAGACTGATGGCAGTGCTGCTCCCACGCTGTCGCAACCCCCTGGGGCTCTGCCCCAGCTCCTGGCATCAGCCCTCCTGCTCAGCATCCCATGGCAGCCCAGGCTTGGACAACTCTGGGTGTGCAGGGACACCCGTGTGTGCTGAGGGCACCTGGATGCTGCCAGCACTCACCTTCCTGTGTCCTGGCTCCTTGTCCCCGGCGTTGGAGGGCTTGCGGCGCAGCATGGCACCGGGGCCGGAGGGCACAGCGCTCGGCAGCACCTCGGCACGTCCCGTCCCGTCCCGCGGCACCGGCACCGAGCCGGGAGCGCACAGGAAGCCGGCGGTCACATGAGAGGCGCTTGCAGCCGTGCTTGGGGCGGCTGCCGGGGCGCGGGCTGGGGCAGGAGGAAGGAAACTCTCCACGGAACTGCTGCCCTGCCCGGGGCCCCCGAGGTGGGGATGGTGCCCGCGCCCTGACAACCCCTCGGCCACCGTGCTGCCCCATCGGTGGTGCTGCCCGTGCCCTGCATCCCCTTGGCGATGCTGTTGATGGGCACAGTGTCCCCCCACCCCCTGCAAAGGGGGACAGTCCTCACCCCTCTGCCGTGCCCTCCCCTGTGCCTTCTCATCCTGCTGGCACACGATGGTCAAGCCCTCTGTGTGACACATGGTGTCTGGCATGTCCTCTGTGTCCCCTGCATCTGTAAGTCCTCCCAGCTCAGCATCACACCCGGATGGGACATGCTCTTGGTCACCCCACTGCTGGCACCTGTGGGGATGGCTCCGGTCGGGCTGGCAGCCCTGCACCCTCTCACTCCAATTCCTCCATCTTTTGCCCCAGAATTAATTACAATCTGCCCAAATCCATCTCCCTGCTGTTGGCATGGGCTTGGCTGCCCCAGGGCAGGTCAGGGCAGGGGGCACAAGCAGGGTCACAGGAGTGCGGTTGGGGGCCATGTGGGGCGGTGCCCCAGCCCCACACCTGCTGGTGAGGCACAAGCAGCACACCAGGCACAGCAGGGCAGAGCAGGACACAGCCCCTGCCCGCGTTGCTCATGTTTAATCAAAAACGAGCAAATAGAAAACAACAAAAAAAAAAAAAAAGGAAGTGAGCACAGGGGAAGAACCAGCTGCGGCAGGAGGGGGTGGGGGGACCGTGGGTGCAGGATCAGGCCTGCAGCCCGCTGAGCACCACGGAGAGCAGCGAGGTGAGGGCCAGCACGGCCGTGGTGGCAGTGGTGGTGACGGCGCTGCCCACCGGGAAGGGCTTGGTGCTCTCCTGCAGCCATTTGTACGCCTCCTCCAGCTGCTGCCGCTGCAGCTCTGGCCCCACACGCTCACGGATCCTCTTGTAGTAGGAGTTTAGGTACTGGATCTGCAGCCAGGCATGGCAGGGAACTGGAGGGGGGCTGCTCTGGATGCTGCTGCCCCTTAGCCTTTGGCCCCCCCCGTCCAGCTGCCCCACACCCCAATCACCAGCCCCACCTGCAGACCCTCTTGCCCCTCTCCATCCACGCATCCATCCTTGCTTCATCCTCATTTACCTGCTCCAACCGCATGCCACAGTCCTGGCTTCCTGTTGCATCCACTCACCAGCCCCTGTTGCTCTCCCTGCACCCCAGCCCAATGTGCTGGCCCTCACAGCCCCGAGCATGCCCCCATACCTGCTCTGGGGACATGAGGCTGAGGTCGATGAGGTTGCGGTCGTAGGGCACTAGGGACACCACCTCGAAGGTCAGGAAAGGCTCGCTCTGGTGCTGCCACAGAAACATGCTGTTGGGTGCCCCCAGCCCCGACTCGATGCAGCTCCCCATGCTGTGCCACCCCTGTCACCCCGGCCCCATCGCCCTACCTTGGTCTGCGCCTCCACCACGAGGGCGACGTCCTCAATGCGGATCCCGAACTCACCGTCCCGGTAGTATCCAGGCTCTGGGGGCCAGGAAGGCACTTGGTGAGCTCCCAGCCCCAGTGGCTCCCTCAGCCCACCCCAGCAGGGCCAAATCTGGCCCCTGAGCGTGGCTGAGAGCTGACCCTCCCTGGTCCTGGTCCTGGTCCTGGGGCTGTCCCGGCCGGCTGAGGCACCAGCCAGGTTGGTAGGACATACCGATGGAGGTGAACATGCCGGATGACAGTGGCACGTTGTTGGACTGGAAGCCCACAGGCCCTGCAGGGACATGGGGTGGGTAAGAACTCCAGGGACAGCGTGTGCTGCAGGGACACCCCTGCAAGGACCAAGATGCCACACCAGAAAGAACCACAGGGCCAACACAAGGACCGCAGGTGACCCCAGCACGGACCATGTAGCCACCAAGGCAAGGACTATGGGGCCACCACGACAAGGACCACTGGGTCATCCCTGCAAGGACCATGGGGCCACCAAGGCAAGAACTACTGGATCATCCCAGTAAGCTGGATGGGAGTCACGCTGGCAAGGATCACCGAGTCACCCTGGAAAGCACCCCCAACACGCTGCAGGTAGAGGACTCCCCAGCAAGAGGCTCCAGTGGGTGACGAGTAGCCCCCAATGAGCTCCTGTCCTCGTCCCTGTCCCCACAGCTCAGCCCACATGCCCAGTGCTGGTGCCACATACACTCGTGGACGGAGAGGAAGTTGCCGATGCCGTGGCCGGTCCCATGGCCGTAGTTGAGTCCAACATCCCAGAGTGCCCGGCGTGCAAAGGACTCCACCGTTCTCCCTGGGGAACGAAGAGGTGGGTGGGATGGAGGCCGACAAGCTGATGGGACCGCCCTGCCCTCCTGCTCCCTGTGCCAGGGTTCCTGGGCAGGGCTGGGCTGCACAGTGCCAGGTTTGGCACCCACCTGCTGTGTTGGATGGGAAGACGAGGCGGGAGAGGTCGATGTTGCCCATCAGCACACGGGTGTAGGCTTCCTGTGGGGGCATGGTGGGGTGAGCATGGTGGTGCCTGGATACCCACCCTGCCACACCCAGCCCTGGCTGGAACCGTGGTGCCAAGTGCCGCAGGGAGTCCTGGGCAGCCAAGGGAGGTGCTGGCTGACACGGGAGAGGCTGGTACCTTCTGGAGTGGGGTGGGCTGACCCCAATGCACTGTCCGAGTGATGTCTGTTGTCCCATCCCTGCAAAGCAAGGACGTGAAAGGGGGCGACACAGCCCCAGTGCTGGCTTTGGGGGCCCCGAGATGTGAGGCTGTGAGGTGGGTCTCTGTTAAAAGCTACTCACAGATACTGCCCTCCGGTGTCAAAGAGGTACATCTCGCCCGCCGACAGTGTCCGGCTGCTCCCGTTGGCGGGACTGCAAGGGAAGGGGGGTCAGAGCCCTCTCCCAGCTGCCCACTGCCCACTGCCCCCCGCCCTCTGCCCAGCGCTGCCCTGGCCATACCTGTAGTGGGCCAGCGCCGCGTTGAGCCCGCTGGCCGAGATGGACTGGAAGCTGGGCCCGTGGCTGTGCTGCTGGGCCCTGCAAGGCAGCAGGGAGGGAGGGAGGTGCTGTGGGTCCCCAGCTGCCCTTCACTGGGCAGGGGGGGCCGCGGGGACGGCACTGACCTGCGGAGGGCATCGATATGCTGAGCTCCTGAAAACTCATTCACCCCCCCCTGCGGGACCATCTTCTCCAGCCACAGCAGGTACTGGATGACGGCCACGGCGTCCCGGACCTGGGGGTGCCCCGGTGGCAGCGGGGAGAGGGCATCAGCACCCCGCAGCGTCCCCCGCATTGTGCAGGGGGCTGCGGGGGCGGGGACAGCCCTTACGTGGGCGGCTCGCAGCAGCTCCTGCTCCCGGGCGTTTTTCACAGCCTTGGCTGTCATGACAGGCGAGTAGCTCTCCTCCAGCAGCTTTTCCTGCGAGAGCAGGCAGGAGGCGGCATGGCCACCTGTCCCCTCAGGCCCCGGGGGCGGCCACAGCGCGGTGTGGCACGGGGCCGTCCCCAAGCCTGCAGGACCCCCGTGCCCCACGGCCAAGCTCCGTGCCGCGGCGTCGCTGCTGTACCCACCTGGGGGACGATGCCGTAGAGGCCGTAGGTGGTGTACTCGGTGCCCAGCCACACGGTGACGTTGCCGCGGGTGTAGTTGCGCAGGTGGTCGCTCACCTGCCCGTACTCCCGCAGCTCCACGCACAGCGGCCCCGGGCAGCCGGAGCGCAGGGACTCCCGCGCCGCCGCCGACAGCCGGGACTCCTCCACGAACAGGCTGGGGAGGGAGCGGGACGGGGCGGGCACAGACGTGGGGGGTCACCTCCTGCCTTTGGTCTCCCCCGAGCCCAGCCACGCCAGCGGAGAGGAGGGGGCTGGGGGGCTCAGAAGGGATGCTGGGCTGAGAATGGGAGGAGCCCTCCGTCAGGCTGTGCGGGAAGGGAGGGTGCGGTGCCCCAGGGTGGGCTGGGAGAGGGGGCATGGAAAGATGTGGGGCTGGGGCCTAAGGCAGCGGGGCTGAGAAGGGGGTCCCGTGAGGGCTGGCTCAGGAAGGGAAGGGTGGAAGGGGAGTGGGTGATGAGCCCCTCCGTGCCTCGTGCCCACAGGGAAATGCTGCCCACCTTATGTCAGTGTTGGTCAGGAGGGTGTAGGAGTAGAAGACGGGGTTGTAGGGGATGTCATCTCCACGGAGGTTGAAGAGCCCTGCCAGGAACGAGACCTCTGCACCTGTGACTGCCGCTACGTTCCCAGCCCCAGGGCTCGGAGCCCAGGGCACCTGCCATGGCATCCTGCACAGCACCGCGGGTACTCACAGGCTGTCTCCTCCAGCCCCGACAGCAGCACGGCCATCGGGCGTCGCACGTGCTGCTCCATCTGCTGCCGGATCCCGGCAACCTTCTCCTGCCAGCTGCTCCCTGGGAGAGGGGCAAGTGGTTGCCTCGGTGCAGGGACCACCACGGAGGGCCCTGGGCTGGGGGTGCTGCGGGTGGGCAGCCGTGGGGAGGCCGGGGTCGTACCTGTGAACGCTGCTGGGAGGCTGTAGATCTCGCTGGAGGAGGGAGGGGGTCTCTGGTCACCCCACACCTGATCCACGAGGTTGGTCTCGAGGGGGAGCAGAGTCCGGCCGGAGCCGTACAGAGCCTGGCTGTAGCTCTTCCAGGTGGCTGGGGGGAAAGAAGCAGCCCAAAGGTGGGGGAACCTGGTAAATCCACACCCCGGGGCAGCCCTCCCGTGGGCAGGGTAACCCCCAGTGCCAGCCAGCCCTACCGATGGAGAAGAGGAAGGGATCCAAGCTGATGTTCCCCCCTACAGGAACCGCCTCCAGGATCCACATCACAATGGACTCGATCCAGGCTGCAGGAGAGAGCTGGGTGGCACTGCGAGGACACACCGCGTCCCTGCCCGTGCTGAGCCCAGAGGAGGCTGTGGCAGGGGCTGGGGGGGATCGTGGGAGCGGGGGGACTCAGCAGTCCCCCATCCTGCCCCCCACTGACTCGTCCTCTGCAGCTCCCAGTTGCAGTCCAGCTCGCGCTCTGCCTGGGTCCAGTAGCGGCTGTCAGTCCACAGGGCAGCCTTGTCCTTTGTCACCACGCTGGTGCCTGGGACAGGAGCGGGGGCTCAGGGATCACCTCTCTCTCCCTCCCTGCAGCCCGCAGGGACTCCCTGGGGCCCTCAGGGAGTAGGACCATGCCCTGTCCATGGATCCCCAGGGATGAGGAATAGCAGGAAGGCAGGTACCAGCCTCCCAAGCAGGGAACCCAGGGTTGGGGGGTGCCCTCACCTGCGGAGCCGGTGAAGCCGGTGAGCCAGCCCAGCCGGGCATCCCGCTTGGAGATGTACTCGCTCTGGAGTCGGGATGGAGCTGTGAGGGGTGGCTGTGGATGCCAGCAGGGTCTCCGGGGGCGCAGGGAACTCCTGCCTTACCATGTGGGCATCCGTGGAGGGCACGATGTAGGCGTGGACGCCGTGGTCCCGCATGGTGTCCCGCAGTGCCGCCAGCCGCGCCGTCGTGTTGGTGGCCGTGGGTGGCAGGTACTGGTGGCACAGGGGGACGTGTGCTTGGACTGGGGGGGTGGACCGTACGCAGGGGGTCTCAGGAACAGGGAGGGGTGGCAAGGCGGGGCTCACCGGTGGGTCCGTGGAGCAGTCCCGGATGTCATTCCTGGTGGAAGGAGCCTGAGGCACCCGCCCTGCGGCACAGCCTGTGGGTGCGGCAACAACCGGGAGCCTCAGGCTGCAGCTGGGGTCCTGCCGGCCCCTTGCTCCAGCCCAGAACAGCACCAGGCAGCTGTGACCCTCATCCCCAGCCCCAAACGCCAGCTAGACCAGCTTTGGGGCTTTTTGCAGAAACCGGTTTTCCTGGGTTTTAGCCCCAGGAATAGGGGGTGGAAACCAGTGCTATAGCCCGGCTCAAGAGGAAGGAAATCTCCCCATGCCCATGGCACTGTGGGGTCATCATGGGAACAGCTGCCCAGGAGCAGGTGAGCTGACCCAGAGCATCCCAGCACTCGGCTGACAGTGGGGCCATGCCCAGCCAGACCTGGCCTCTCCCCAGTGCTGCTTGGCACCAGGTGTCACCACTGGCACCGTCACTCCCTGCGCTCTCCATCACCAGCTGGTTCTTAGCTCTTCACCTTGGGCCAAGGGCACCCAGCGTGGGTCCATGGGACAATGCAGGGTGGGGTCACTCTCAGCATGGGACAGGGTCTTGGGTACCTGGTCCCTGCACCCTGGGGGGCTGCTCCTTACCTGTCACCTGCCCTGAGCCCATCCCTGGGGCAGGTGGGCAGGGTGAGCCCCTCGCCACAGCCCCGTTCCTGCCCCAGGGTCAAACCCACCCCTGTTTCACCCAGAGCTGTGTCTGGGACACCCTGCATCCTCTCTGCCTGGTTCCTGGGGGTCCCAGACGTGCCACCCCACCCCAGCACCCAGCTCACCCCTGTGGCATACCGTGGAGCAGGAGTGCCCAGGCTGTGATCCAGTGCAGGGCACACATGGCTGCCCTGGCGGTGCCCAGCGGGACGGAGAGCCAAGGGACACTGTGGGTGACAGGTCCCTCCTCCTGTGTCTTTGCCCCAGGGGCAGAGGGATGGGAGGGACGAGGCCCCAGCGGATATGGGGGTTGTTGTCCTTTGCATGGAAAGCGAATCCCGCTGCTAAATTAAAGCAAACAGCAAAATCAGCACAAAGTCCAAAGATCCTGCAGGAGCAGAGGTGGGAGCATGCCAGCTCAGCCTGGCACAGCCTGGCAGCCAGGGAGAAGGCAGGGAAAGGGTTTGCTCCCTGGGGGAGCAAAGACCCCTGTTTCCTGGAGCCTTGGAGAGCTGATGTGGGGTCCCTGGGGCAAAGACCAGCCACCCCCTGAGCCAGTCAGCCCCCTGAGCCCTCCTCTCCCTGGCACGGTGCAGTCCCCATCCCAGCACCCCAAGGCTGGGGCTGACAGACACGGTGTGTGTGTGGGGAGGTGCCCCATCCCCACTGCCAACCATTAAACAGCTGCCGGGGGGGCACAGTGCCCGTCCTCCTGGTGAGCAGGGCCGGGAGCTGGCGGGACAGCCAGTGTGTCAGTGACACCCACCCCGGTCTGTGGCTCCTGCAGCCGGCTGGGTGCTGGGAACACACAGTGCTGTATCCCCTAACCGTGGCTGGGCCCCTCATTTTTTTTGGCGTGGCTGTTTTTCTGCTGCAGCTGCACTATAGGTGTAAACGATCCCACACCAGCACAAACCTCACTCCAGGGAAAAGCTGGATAACACCGACCAACACGTCAGTGCCCATCCTGCTCTCACCCCAAACTGCTGCACCCCTCTGGCAAGGCACATGCAGTGTTCTGCAGTGGGTGGGAAGGAGCCAATATCCCCAGTGGGAGCCTTGATCTCCCCGATATCCCCAGTGGGAGCCCTGAACTCCCAGGGGTTGGGACAAGAAGGGGATGGGAGAGGAACAAGAATGGCATGGCAACAATCCCCATGGGCTCCAGCTGGATGTGGTTCCCCCACCTATAGATGATTTGGAGGTGGTGGTGCAGGAAAAACCAGAGTGCTCTAGGGAGGGGACAGGTCTTGCTGGGTCTCCTTGGCCTGAGGGAGCTGTCTGGGGGTCAAACAACATCTGATATGGGCACCCATCATCTGACACGGGCACCCATGGGCTGCAGGGACAGACACGCTGCTGCTCTCCCTGCTCTGTCCATCCCTGGTCATGGAGCAGCATGGAGACCCACGGGACAAAGTCCAGAAGGAGTGCAGAGGGGTGGGCCCCCAGCACACGTGGTGCCACTTCCTATCTTATATCCTGTGCAGTGATGTAGAAAAGGGACCAGACTTGGGAGAGACAAATGTCTGAGCCCTGTTCTCTGTGGGCAGCAGGAACAGGCACGAGGCCTTGAAAGGGAGAATGGGATGATCTCAGTGCTGGTGAGAGCACATGGTCCTGCTGTTGGGGAACCAGGGGTGATAAATGCAGAGTGCTCAGTGGGTTGGGTTAGAGACACCAGCACAGGGCACATCGGCCATGTGCCAGCACAGAGCAGCCCTGCACAGGGAGAGACTCGTGTGGAGGAAGAGGAGGGTGATGGCTGAGCCATGCAGGGATTCACCAGCACCTGTCCACAGCCCAGGACCAGCAGCCACTGCTGAGGCTTCACAGGGACCTGTGCTCCATGGGAGGATCCCATTGGGATGTGCCCTTTGTCCCACCAGGCCCATCAGCTCCACACCTCTGCTCATCTGCCTTGCTAAAACCTCATTATGTTCGTCATAATGAGCCTTGACCCCGAGGCCTGTCACTTTGATTGCACAGGTGCTTCCTCCAGTGGCTTTAATGACTCTGGTTGTGGAAGAAAAATCTAGATAAGGGGCAGAGCTGCTGCCACAGGTGCTGGAGGTGTCCATCCCTGGCATGGACATGGACCTTCAGGGATGGATGCATGTTCCCACCCAGGATAGATCATAGATTCACAGACTTATTTGGGTTGGAAGGGAGATTAGAGTTCCTCTGGTTCTGACTCCCTGCCATGGGCAGGTTCACCTTCCACTAGCCCAGGTTGCTCCAAGACCCATCCAACCTGGCATGGGGCAGCCACAGCTTCTCTGGGCAACCTGTGCCAGGGTCTCACCACCCTCACAGGGAAGAATTTCATCCCTGTATCTAATCCATAACAGCCCTCTTTAATTTAAAACCACCCCGCCTTGCCCTGTCGCAATGGGCCCTGCCAAAAAGTGTCCCCAGAGACTTATGTCCCCACCCAGGCCAGGGTTCCTGGAGCACTCCCTACGGGATTGTTGCTCATCACAGCCCACGAAGATCCTTGGGATATGATCCCCACTTCCTGGGCCAGGGGTCCCTGCACCATCTCTCCCCAGCTCTCAGGGGCTCGTCCTCAAGGCCAAACACAGCCAGGTCTGTGTTGGGACCATGAACCCTCTGAGCTGCTGCCCCCTCCCAGTGGCCCCTCATGGCCCGTTGGACAGATGGGTGTTCACCATCCTACTCTTGCAGTGCCTGTCCAGCTCTTTCCCCCCCCCCCCACCTGTCCAGCGGTGTCCCCGCAGGGATTGTCCCTTTGTGTCCCCACACCGGCTGTGTCCCTGCACCGCCTGTCCCGCTGTGTCACCACACCGTCCGGCCGTGACACGGCTCCGGCCGTCCAGCTGTGGCACTGGGACCCTGCTCACCACGAGGTGGCACCAGGACTGCACCGTGGAGCCGCGCAGCCCCCTGTCCCGTGTCCCGCTGTCCTGTCCCGTCCCCTGTCCCTGCCCAACCTGCAGCTCTGGCACCAGCAAAGCCGGGTGGTCCCACAGCCATCCTGTCCTCATGCTGAGCCCTGCCACACTTATGTCACGGATGCTCTCAGGCTGCCCGTGTCTGCATTGCCCTCCAATCCCCCCTTCTCAGAGGACCCCAGGAGAGGGTGAAGGGGGGTCCCCAGCAGAGGCAGGACAGGGACAGGATGGGGAGGGGAGCCAGGGTGACCCCAAAGCTGCTGTGATTGCTAAGGCAGTTTCCCAAGGGTGTGATGCAGTGCGGTGGGGTCGGTCAGGCAGCACTTTGCTGCCATCCTGCTTGTTAGTAACTCATGTTAATGATGCTCTGTCCTCCCTGCCCGGTCCCTGCCCAGGGCTGGGGAGGGCTGCGCCCCTCACCATGTGGCTGCACCCCACTCCCACGGGGTCGTCGTGATGAGGGGTGGTCTCTGCCCTCTTATTCCCAGCATCTGAGCTCCACTTTGCGATGCCATCATCCCCGGTGCCGCCCCCAGTGTCATTCCCAGTGCCATTCTCGATGCCGTTCCCAACGCCATCATCCCCAGAGCCACACCCAGGAGATGGGGCCGCAGCTGTCCCGTCCCCGCGGGCACCGTGGCTGCACATCCCTCCTCCTCACCCAGCGCGGGGGTGGGGTGTCCCCAGCCGTCCCCGGGGACCCCGGGGTCCGCGTGCCGCCCCCAGCCAGCGTCAACAGGACGAAGCTCCTCGGCGCGTCCGGTGGGGCCCGTCCCTCCCGCGGGAGGTTTCCTCGAAGACGAGCCAGAGGAAGGCTTCGGGGGGACATCCTCCCTTTGTGGGCTATTGTTGGCCTTCCGTCACCTGCAGAGGCCGCGGGGTGACTCAGGCCGGGGTGACGCGCCCGGCAAACAGGACGCGGGGCGGGAGGGTGTGCGGGCGCAGGAATGCGGAAGCCAGCGGTGGCACCGGGATGCTGCCAGGATCCCCCAGGATTCCCTGGCAGGCACGGTCTGCCTAGCGGTGCCTGCCCGGGAGGTGGGCTGGGAGGGTCCCTGCCGCATCCCAGAGCCCAGCAGTTGGATTGCAGGGATGGGATTCCAGCTCCTGGCGCTCCCTGAGGGGACACCCCGCTTTGGGGGTGCACAGAGCTGGAGGGGAGCGGTGACCCTACACTGTGCCGGCAGCAGAGGCTGCGGGACACCCTGGCAAGGAGATTTTGGCCGGGATGCGGGGGGTGCAGCCAGTAGGGCTGGAACAAGCATATGGGATGTCCCCCTCCCGCAGTACCTACAGATGCATGCGGGGCTGTGACACGGTACCCACACACCCAGTACAGCTCCTCCTCACCCCCCACCCTGCCCCATAGCCCCTCTTACAGCCCCCCCAGCCCATCCTCACAGCCCAACACACAGTCATCATGTCCAGCTGCTTCTACAGCCCCTCCATACACCCCTCTCTGTCCCCACACCCTGCTGTCAGGGGCTGTCCTGGAGTGCAGTTGTACTTGTCACCCACCTTTTGGAGGGGTGATGTCATCCACCTTGTGAGGAACCGACCCTGTCCCCCAAAGCCTCTGCATCGCCCCCTCCTCAGCTGGGCAGGGAGGGAAAATACAGGGAAAGGGTTGAGATAAGGACCAGGTTGTCCTTATCTCTTATCTACCCCTACCACTAGGGGTACTGGCACAGGCAAAATAGACCATTTTTGGGGAAATTAATTGAATTTCTTAAAATCATGGAATCACAGAATGGTTTGGGTTGGAAGGGACCATAAAGATCATTCAGTTCCACCTCCTGCCATGGGCAGGGACACCCCATCCAACCTGGTCTTGAGCACTTTCAGTGATGGGGCAGCCACAGCTTCTCTGGGCAACCTGTGCCAGAGCCTCACCATCCTCACAGGGAAGAATTTCTCCCAAATATCTGATCTAAATCTCCCTCTTTATTTATTTATCACTAATCAAATCAGTAGCATAATGAGAAATAAAAGCAAACCTTAAACCCCTTCCCTCACCCTTCTCTTCCTCTCAGGCTCAAATTCAGTCCTGATTTCTCTTTGTCCTCCCAACCCCAAAATAGGGGCTGGGGCAGTTTGTCACATGCCAACCCCTCTGTGGGCACCACCTGGCTGGAAGGGGCAGAGGGGCAGGGGTGGAGGGGTCTGTGGGCATGGAGGAGCCAGGACAGCCCACTGACCCCTTGGGTGACATGGGAAGGGGTGGGCTGGAAGGGGGGCTTGAGCCAGGTGAGGTGGAGGGTCCCAGGGTCTGAGGGCCAGGCTGGGAGGGTGGTCCCAGGGCTGGGAAAGGAGGGGTCATCCTGGATCCAAGCTGTGCAGGGGTCCTGGGCCAAGCTGGCAGCAGTGTTGGGGTCTAGGGG